CGTCAGGACTACACGATTACAAGAAATATCATGCAATACAACTTTAAAGTTTTTTAAATACACAGTAGGAACTTAACGTGATTGTGAATTTAAAGTATATATAAACAACGTGAAAGTTTAAAATGAACTAAAATATAATTTAAATGAAAACAAACAATTAATTGACGTAACCATTAGATAGTTAAGTGGCGTTAAGTAGTGAAGTGCCAAAAATTTTGGAATCATGTTCGACAGCAACTTATCCTGGGATGAACATATCAATGAAGTAAGAGACTACGAGTATACTATTCTTTTCACTCTCTCAAACGTTTTCAGAAATTTTTGTCCATTGTAACGAAAATCACACTCGCCCAAACTTTATTACTACCTCTTCTTGATTATGTTGACGTATGTTATCTGGATGTCACAGAGGAACAATTAAATAAGTTGGAATAGCTGCAGAATTTGTGCTAACGTTTTATTTATGGACTTAGAAAATACGATCATATCTCCTCTTACAAAAGCGCATTAAAATGGCTCCCAATTCGTCAACGTCGTGATTTTCATCTTTTGTCTTTCTTATATTCTATACTGTTTAATTCCTCCTCCCCATCTTATCTTCGTGAACAATTCAATTTCCTTGTCTCCACTGGCATGTCCAGTAGGTCGAGTATGTCCCTTATTTTTAAAATCCCTCCTCATAGCTCTTGATGCTATAATGGATTATTTACGGTTCATGCGGCTAGACTATGGAACTCTCTTCCACTGCATATTCGTGAAAGCCAATCACTGAATATATTCAAGAGCAGATTAAGAGGGCATCTTCTGTCCTCATAAACTTATTATATCTATGTATGTAATGTACGTATTTTTAATGTAAAGAGATATTTTATGTTTATGTATATATATATATATATATATATATATATATATATATATATATATATATATATATATATATATATGAATAATATTGTATTTGAGTATATATATATCAACATATTTATTACTTCTTAGTAGAAACAACTGTACTGTTTCTTCCTATTATTGTACGCCCACTGCCCGCTGGTAATTAATGCTCCTTTCCACTCAGGATTTGCTGGAAGAGAACTCTTACAGAGTTAAGCTCGCCTGTTGTACATCTTTTATATAAATTATATACTTGTATTTTTTTGTGTACAATAAAGTATAAATAAATAAATTAATAAAATAGTTTGCTGATGTCCAACAGTAGTATAAGTTTATAAAGACTTATTACTGAATAAATGGCGACACGGATTTGAATATAATTTGGTACATATGTAGGTTATAGCCTAACTTAAGACATAGGATACTTTATATACTAAGACACGCGAGCAAAGTCGCTGGAAACAGTCAGTATATTAATATATTGATATTGATAAAATGTTTGGATTTGTTACTTGATTAATTTAGGGAGCGTTATAGTTTCTGTGATAATTTAAATAAAACTTTGCCATTAAATGTTATTGAAATAGTGTAGATGCATGTTTTCGTTACCACACATATGAGAAAGAAAAGGACGACGAACATTGCTATCTCATTCTATCTCATTTATTGTCAATTCATTTATAATGTCTCCGGTTCTAGTCAGATTCCAACTTTATATTAATTTATTAAAGACTATGCAGATAATTAAACTAGTTTTTGTAATTTATTTATATAGATGATCTTAAATAGCATTAAAACCGGCTAATATTATAAACTAGCTATATATATATATCGCGGTTTCGCCCGTAATCGTATCGTGATATCGAGTAGTCTATCTCAAGAAATGAACTATAATATGCAAAAATAATTTTTCAAATGCAACTGTTTCAGAGATTAGCGCGTTCAAACAAACAAACTCATCCAATTCATATAGTAATATAGATATGAAAGTTAGTAAACATGTTTACACCAAGAAACAGCTAAACAGCTGAGCAGATTTGAATGAAATTTAGAACATGAGTAGATTATTGCCTAACTTACTACATAGCTTACTTTATTTGTTTGTAACGTGGATAAAGCCGTGAGAAATAGCTAGTGTTTAATACGAGTCATTATAACTTGGGCAAATGTAATTCGCGGTAAGCATATGGACCAAAGAATTCCTTTGTAATATAATATAGTTTTAAGCATTCTATAATAATAATAATTCCTTTATTTTAATAAATGTGATACTAATTAATTAATAAATGTGTAAATAGAAAAGAAAAACAAGAAAAAATAAAATAAACTAATCTGTAAATAATATATTTATTTCTATCGAATCAATTATTGTTTCATTTCATAAAAAAGGAAAAGGGAGGGAGGGAGGGAGACTTTGTACAAATACCGATTGCTTGGGTACCTCTTTTCCATTCGTGTTTCAACCGTAAAGCAGTTGTGTTTGCATGGCTGTGTTTCGGTTTGTAGGGTGGGATATGGTGTGAATTTACAGGGTACAGAAGAATAACACCTGAGTCCACAGGAATGGCAACACATGGGGGGTATCATGGGCGAAACAATATACTCTGTTATGTCCATGGTACTGCTCATGTCTATAGGCGACGGTTACCACTTTCCATCAGGTGGGCCGTCAGCTTGTTTGCCATTTTAAGTTAAGACGTATAAAAAAAAACACAAAATAATAAAAATAATGTACTCTTTATTGCGCACAATAGAGATGTATCCAAGGAGTATTTATACAGAATGTACATATACAAAAGGCGGCCTTATCACTAAAAGCAATCTCTTATAAACAACAATAACCGAAATGCATTAAAATTTATGTTCTCAGAAGGCCAACGAATGTGGAGTGTAATCGTAGGCTACGTTTCGTCTTCTGCCCTGTTCTTTGTGCCCTCCATCCTACACTAAGGAAAATCTGAATGAGCTGAGCAACTATGTTGTGTAAGTCACTAAGTTCTAGTCCAAAGATATTGGGGGAAAAGGGATTGTTAGTAATGGAGACTGAGAATCCCATTGCTACCAATATACCCAACCAGGCCGACCTCCTCGCGGTTTCCCCTAGAAACTATCATGGTTAATTCCTGATGAATTAATCATGATGGGCTAACTGGCCTGTTTTCATTCTCATCTATCACCCTTTACTGGTGCTCCGCCAGCGTATCCCGTTAGCGCAGGCGGGGTTACCATACCATTTTCATCCATCAAAAAAAAAAGTCCAAAGATATTTAGTTTGTGTATTACTTAGGAAGAAGATTACTAACCGACTGAAACAACACACTGAAATTACGTAGATAAAAGATGCATCTAAAAATATAAGTATTTTTTTTTATCTAATTTATCATGGGCAGTGTTCTGATGGATTGTTCAGATTGATACCTGCTGCTGATTTTCACCATTGTACAACCCGCTACGAACTAAAGTGTCATCCCAACCATCTGCGTGAGTGGTGGTCCTCCGCCGTACATTTTTGGAGGCAGTTTCTTCCACGAACCATCATGCTTTGGAATTCATTTTCAGTAACAGTATTTACGAAATGATACGACATCATAACCTTTAAATGAGCATATTTTTTTCCAAAAAGTCGACAGCACACCTGCAATTGCTCTGGTGGTGCTCACGAGCAGTGGTAACCGCTTACCATTAGCCGAGTCGCATGCTCATTTACACACTACCTTAAAAGAAAAGTCAAGCATTATCCTTCAATATTCATGTTGTAAAAGTCGACTAAAGGACAAAGCGCATACAACCACGCACGCACGCACGCACGCATGCACGCACGCTCACACATACGCACGCACACAAACACGCAACAACGTGCACACAGTATTGGGAGGTTTTATGGTATTTCATGGGATGAAAATGAAGCGAAAACCCCGCTTGCGCTAACGATATAGGCTAGCGGGGCATTAGTGAGGGATGATGGGTGAGGATGAAAGTAGGTCAGTTGGCCCATCGCGAATGAATCCATCAAGAATTAACCACCATTGTTTGCACCAGGGTTGACCTTATACGATATTTATTACTATTATTAACAATTCCTTTAACCATGTACTCGTATTAGGAAGTTAGGCGGCCATTATGGAGAGAATATTATAAATTTAAGTAGTTTGATTTTATTTTATATATTTACAAATTATATATCTTCCATGTACAGACAGCGACCAGTTACGATTTTATTATATTTTATTGATAAAGGTAAATTTTTTAATGGCGAAGACAGATCGACCGTAGGCGGCCTTGTATATCGATAATGTGTCGGCTTTTATTTTTATATTCTCGACATCTGTTATTGGATTATGATAAATTGCAATTAATAAAAAAACACGTGGGCGCAGTCAAATAAAAATAATTACTGGCACTTTCACAACAAATCTATTTCAATCGTTAACTTATACAAATTGATTAATATTTATTTATTTATTTATTTAACTCTTTATTGCACCATAAACGAAAATATACAATGACAAGTGAATCATTCAAGTGAAATACAGTAACATAAATACATTAAGCAATAAGAGTCTCAATTCGAATGTTTTATTTTTAATGTACAAACATTACGTACGTCATAACTTCGTCAGTTATAGTTATAAACTGATTTGGCAAATTATTTTTTAACTGAAATTATATACTTAAAGATATCAATTTATTTATTTTATTTAATTCTTTATTGTACACACCAGTTATAAGAATATGACAGAGGTAATTAAATGTACAAAGGCGAGCTTAACTCTAATAGAGTTTTCTTTCAGCAACACCCAAAGTGGAAAGGAGCATCAATGTCAGCGGGTAGAGCGGTGTACAATATTGTGACAATATTTAAACAAACTAGACAAAATTAAATGTACATTAATTAACTGTATAAATACACATATACTTTAGTCACACATTCAATAGATTAATTTTTAAATAAAAAATAATAATACAGATTTCCAGAATTAAAATTGACTTTATTTATGAAACACAATCATAAATTTGTAGTAAATTAAATATATATATATATATATATATATATATATTTCTGTTATTGATGAAAGGAGAAATAAAATAGCCGATTATTTCATATTCAATTTTTAATTTATATTTCCGAAATACTTTCTGCAGATTCTCAATAGTAATATCAACAACGCGGAAATTAAAAGGTACGCCAGTTCAATAAGAGTCAGTATCGAGCCACCGAAGCTTAGTGAGAACACTCCTCCAAACGTAGCTGCAAGAAAGAATGCCAAGTGTAAGTTGATCACCCTCGCTAAGGGTCCCGTACATTGTATATAGAGAATTTCTAAATTCCGTTCGTTCCATAAAAAGGCTTTTTTTATGCAACTTAGAATGGCAAACAAGCTGACAGCTGACCTGATGGAAAGTGGTAACCGTCGCCTATAGACATGAGCAGTACTACGGACATAACAGAGTATACTGTTTCGCCTATGATACCCCCCATGCGTTGCCATTCCTGAGGACTCAGGTGGTATGACTGTACACCTTGTAAATTCACTGCCATATCCCACCCTTCAAACCGAAACATAGCCATGCTAATACAACTGCTTGCAGAAACATGAATGGGACAGAGGTACCCAAGCAAACGACTTTTGTACAAAGTCAAACAAATAATATGTGAGATAAAATGATATAATGATAAAGTGTTAGTATTTATCGTGATACAGCGCTGTGACAGACGGACGGACGGACAATGTCGCAGAAATTCTTTCAAGAGATATGCCCGTCTGTATACATTTTCGTTATAAGCTTGATATCTATATTAAAAGTGAACGTACAAAAGCATTTTAATAAATAAATAAAGGTCGCACTAAAAGTGTACATTTATATCATTTTGGTACGGAACCCTAAAGAGGTTATTTTTTACCTATGCATGTGTAAGTATCAATAATGAAATCTGTATATGTATAAATACATTTAGACAACTACGAAAACCGCATGCAATTTGCTACAGTAGTATTTACCTGATGTCAGAACAAGCTTTCAGACAGACAGATGGACAGACAGACAAGAATTAGAAGACTATTATCTTTGCTCTTTGATTAATAAGGCATGTATTTTAATAAATTGCATTTTTTTCTTATATATATATATAATTCTTGTCTGTTTGTAGGTTTGTTCTGGTATCAGGTAAATATATCGACACTAAATTGGATGTGGTTTTTCAGAATTACTAGCAGTAGAACGAAGTCGATGGCAAAAACTAGTGTCCAGGATAAGTAACATTTTATATCCCCACAATCGCTTACTAAAACAAATTCCAATATTCGGCCATCGGTAAAATAGTAAACAAGATATTTTTACCAACATAAGCTTCTAAAGAACTATCCGTATTACGACCCGTGAAAAAAGAGTGAGTGCAATGAACTTAGTCTATTTTAAAAATACCGTACTAGTTTAATACTCTATCAACTAATATTATTCGATAAAAGTAGATAGAATGGTTAAAAATAAAAATGTGTAAACTGTAACCAAACTTTTTTAAAATTTATGTCTCTTATTATTATTTCAGCCGTTAACTATCCACTGCTGAACATAAGCCTTCCCCATAAGGGCAGTTTGGCCAGTAGTTGCCACGCTTGGCAGGTGGGTTGGCAACCGCAGTTAAGCTTTAAGAGATATTTTAAGAGGGACGCTGCTGCTCATCACTCCACCAAAAGCTCTCTTAGTCGCCTCTTAGTCCCATGGAAGAGGAAGGATTCGCACATTCTATGCCGAGGCACACACCGCAATTTATGTCTGTTGGTTAAGTTAGTTAGTTAAGGAACTTAATAGTAAGGGAAAATTTATGTCTGTTAGTTAAGTTAGTTAGTTGAACTTAATAGTAAGGGAAGATTTATGTCTTTTAGTTAAGTTAGTTAATTAAGGAACTTAATAGTAAGGGAAGATTTATGTCTTTTAGTTAAGTTAGTTAATTAAGGAACTTAATAGTAAGGGAAAATTTATGTCTGTTAGTTAAGTTAGTTAGTTGAGGAACTTAATACAATACTAAGGAAACTTAATAGTCAAGGGATGGGAAACAGTGTTCCTATTAAATCATCACCAAAGCCCAACTGTAATTGTTAACCCGTTATATAAGCGTGGAACTATTGGTAAAACTCCCCTTTTATAAGGGAGGCCTTTGTTCAACAGTGGGCAGTAGACAGCTGATATGATGTTGACGATAAAATGAACAAAGACGTATAACAGGCGAGCTTAACTTTGTAAGAGTTCTCTACCAAAAAATACAGTGTGGAAAGGAACATTTTTTATTATATGCACATTACCAGAGGATAGCGTGCATGTAATAAAAAAAAAAAAAACAGTGTAGTTATGGTGTTTCTACTAAGAAATTTTACTAATACTAACTACTAAGAACTAATTAATTTATAAAATTCAAAGTAAGCACAGGTGATATGGATACCAAACCGATATCTACTCGTGTATATTAGATTCCTCTGAGCACTGATAATGAAAAAAAGGTTATTACCGTTTTTGACATCGCCCATATCGGTCGGATATCTATTTTCAAATATGTTAAAAGTCCGTTATCCAATATTAATTTTTAGCTAACAAACTGTTTTTTTTTATACAACTTAGAATGGCAAACAAGCTGATGGCCCACCTTATGGAAAGTAGTAACCGTCGCTTATAATACATAAGCAGTACCATGGACATAACAGACTATACTGTTTCGCCCATGATACCCTCCATGCGTTGCCATTCCTAAGGACTCAGGTGTTATTCCTCTGTACCTTGTAAATTCACGCCATACATACGCCCACCCTTCAAACCGAAACACAGCTATGAAAACACAACTGCTTTACGGTTGAAACACGAATGAGACAGAGGTACCCAAGCAAATGGCTTTTGTACAAAGTCTCCCTCTGGTAAACTCAAACTTTTAACATATTCGTTGTTGGACCAGTATATAGTAGATATTGTAACTAAAATATATAAATATTTATATATATAAGTCGCCTCTAATTCAAAGTAAACAAATATCTGTATAGAATAAAAAACAGTTTCATTAGTACTTTACTTGTATTGTAATGGACCGTTCTCAAGATTTTATCTGACTTACACCACTTAATAAAAGGTAAAAAAAAGGTAAAATAATTATAAAAATACTGTTTGTATTCTTTATCATAACATTATATTTTATATCACATTTTTAAAGGTAATTTTTTTATAACATTTCATAAAAATATTAAAATACGATTTTCATATTTATTATTCCATATGAAAATTTGTTGGAAAATTTAATTTATCATTCAGGTATGTTTTTTTTTATATACAACTTAGAATGGCAAACAAGCTGACGGCCCACCTGATGGAAAGTGGTAACCGTCGCCTATAGACATGAGCAGTACCATGGACATAACAGAGTATACTGTTTCGCCCATGATACGCCCCTAAACCTTGCCATTCCTAAGAACTCAGGTGTTATTCCTCTTTACCCTGTAAATTCACTGCCATATCCCACCCTTTAAACCGAAACACAGCCATACTAACACTGCTTTACAATTGAAACACGAATGGGACAGAGGTACCCAATAAATGACTTGTGTACAAAATCTACCTCTTAGTGTTTAGATACTTGCCATGTAATCTTATTTACAACTTATATATTCTTTATTGGACTTGTAAATCACATTGTTAATGCGTTTATAAATATTGTGAGCAAAGGTGGACTTATCGCTGACAGAGATCTCTTCCAGTCAACGCAATACAGTTGGAAATCATGTCGTCAGCGGGCAGCTGAAGTGCTACAACTATTAACACGAACTACTGTTACTTCGAATACGAATAAATATTAACAATAATCAATACATAAGCAAATATACAAATAAACAGTTAAATAGAATATTAATATATACATTAAAATATAAATAAATACAATACCTACCTACGTACATATATAATAAATGTTAAAATAAATAAATATGCTACGTACATTACTTTTCAGCTTAATACCCATTTTGCTGATCCTCGGATATCGAAAATGGAATTTTTATATATTTTATTATATAAAAATCGTTCATAAATTAGGTTCGTTTAAAAAGAAAGTTTTTTTTTTTTATAATAATTATAATAATATTGCGGCTTGTACCGCAATTTACAGGTAAGGTAAGGAAGCTGTAATCTGCGATTTAACCGCCACGAAGAAGAAACCTTGTTAAAAACTGTCTAATGACTACGGTAAAATTATTAAAAAAAATGTAAAATAAATTTTTAATAACAATTTCGTAGAACATTTTTTTTTTATATTAAAACAAATAAGGAGAAGAAACAACTTGATTTTGAAGTAGATGGCGTTATATGTGATATCCACAAATATATATATATATATATATATACAATATTTATAATCATGTCTAAAAACTAGACACTTGGAACTACAATTTGCTATTTTATTTTGCTGTACCGTTATTTTCCTCGGAGTTACAGCTCGTTGAAAATCACCCAAAAATTTATATTTGTTTTCATATCCCTTAATTGTTTATACCTTAATGCGAATATATATAATATATAATATATATATATATATATATATATATATATATATATATAAACAAAACATCATTGCAGGTAAAGAAGCAGGTATGCAGATACTACAAGTATTTACCATAAAATGTTTTATTTCATCGAGTTAAGTCCCGATTGTGTATTTAAAATATGTGTAAACAACATGAAAGTTTAACATTACCTATAAGTTATATATGTATTTACCAATTATATAGTTGGTGTCGATCAAGTAGACCAGCTTGTAACAGTTGCATATGGGTCTGCCATAGTACACGCGCAGAGAAGTCAGCTGGCTGACATTATGACCGGCTCTAGAAGGAGACAGAAGAAAGTCTATGTTTATTCTCTGATTAACCACTTGCAATGATTTCAAATGAGTAGATTAGTGTAAAGATAAGTTAAGTAAAATGATAGTCCATTTTTTTATACCACTGAGGTGGCAAACAAGCATACGGCCCACCTGATGGTAAGTGGTTACTGTCCATGATTTATTATGATTATTTCAGCCGTTAATAGTCACACAGCTAAACATAAACCTTTTCCATAAATTTTGCCAGTAAATGCCACACTTGGCAGATGGATTGGCAACCGCAGTCAGGCTTTAGAGATGTTTTAAGAGGGACGCTGATGCCCATTCTTCGCCCTCCTTTAGTCGCCTCTTACGACATCCACTGAAAAGGAATGTCTTCTTATGTCGGAGCACACGTAGTCCATGTTACTCGCTTACAAATGAGTTTTCTATAGGTCAAAGAAGTTTTTAAAACCATATCTGGTAACCAGTGCTTTTGAGTTTCTTTATTACTAGCGGCCCGTCCCGGCTTCGCACGGGTGGACATTTTTATAACATTTTAAAAAGTGGTTATTGTGATACAACTATTATAATTGAACATAATAGTATCACGAAGTATTTTGTAGTTATTGATATTTTCTTCAATATTGTAGAACACACTTTTGTTCTATCACTAATAGTTTCCGCAGCGCACGCGACTAAAGGTATTTTATAGCATTTTTTTACACCTTGAGTTAAGTTTTCTAGCAATAAATATAGCCTATGATACTCAAGGTGAATGTAGCTTTCTAATGGTGAAAGAATTTTTGAAATCGGCAGTTTTTGAGTTTAGCCATTACAAACATACATACACACAATAGTACAAATCTTTCCTCTTTATAATATAAATTTAGATAAAGTATATTATTCTATTTTGGGTTTACTTGACTGGGTTGGGGTTTGAAGGAAGATAGTTTCTGATATGGCAGTGAAATGAAAGATTGTGGACATAACATCTTTGTCTTCACGAATAGTAGTTGTCGTTAACACCAGGTAATTGGTTAATTATGAGGCAATTTATTAGGTTATATTTCATTTTTCAGATTCGCTGAGTTACGTAATTTTGGTCCTTTGTTCCGGATCCGATCCCTCAGAAAAATTCGCTATAAATACACGTAAATAATTCTACGAAACAGATAACTACGAACTAAATAAGATAAACGAGGTAAGCTTTAGCAATAAAATTGTATACCTAAAACGGACACATCGATCAAATAACTTGAAAGTCATCTTACATGATGTTTTCAGGTACCATTTCTGGTACGAAGGGTACAGATTTGCTTTTCATTGTATATAGCTTGTCGTTGCACTCTACGAAACATTGTGGGTTGCAAGACATCGGATTTACAGACACGTGAGCTGAAATAATACAGAATTAGTTACTAAAATCTTCACAATGTTAGGATAGGAAGTAGTTTTTGTAAATAATTTTTTGTCATGTAAGAGGTCAAATATTGTTAGCCCAGAAACTCTTTTTGTTTATAGTAATCTCGTACAAATCCTTTACCGTACAACTCTCTTTATATATGAAAACATAATAGTAACCCCGCATGTACTATTGGTACAAACTAGCTAGTTTTTTTTATTGGATAAAAATGGAATGGTAACCCCGCCTGCGCTAACGGGATACGCTGGCGAGGCACCAGTGAATGATGATCGATGAGGATGAAAACAGGCCAATTAGCCCATCATGATAAATTCATCAGGAATTAACCATGATAGTTTCCAGGGGGAACCGCGAGGAGGTCGACCTGGTTGGGTATATTGCTAGCAATGGGATTCTCAGTCTCCATTACTAACAATCCCTTTCCCCCCCCCCCAAGCTAGCTAGTTATTAATGAGAGATGATAAGTCAGGTTAGCTAATCTTGACCATTTCACTAGGAATTAACCAAGATTTCTGAAAGGTGGGGACGTTAAACAGTTAAGCTATATTGCAAGCAATGCAAGCACTAGTCCTCCATTAGTAACATCTACTCCTACTTCAGAAAATGAAACATATTTGAAGTGTAACTCAGAATTTGGTCTAGGATTAAAAAAGTTGATATCTTGGTTAAGATAAATTAGGAACTTTTTTTATACCACAATGGTGGCAAACAAGCATACAATCCGTCTGATGGTAAATGGTCACTGTAGCCGCCTGCAATACTAGGGGTGTCACGTGCGAGTTGTTAACCCTGAAGAACTTTTTTTTTTATTTTCTTGTACTCGTATATTAAATGGAATCCTTTACTTATTCCTTTTTTAAAAATTACGAGTAGTTAAATATCTCGGTCTCTGAATTGAAGTGGAATTTTCCATGCAAATAATCTTTGATCGTGGGCACACGTGCGTTTTGGTGGCTTGGTAAATTAAACCGAAATCTATAGATATCGACTTCTGATTTATTTCTTGTAAATAATAATATTATATATAAGTATTCTGATTGACAATATCAAATTATCTTTACAATTTACTAAATAACTAAAATATAATCGCAGAGACACGCTTGCTTTATCAAGCGCCGAACGGAAGGGGACAAATCAACGACAATCATAGTTAAATTTTTTACTAGATCACAGACTACAAGAAACTGAAATCTTGTCCATTAGGAATAAATTATGATTAATTGAACCTAATAGAAAAAAAAAAAAAGATTTAGACAACAACAGAATCATATTGCGTAAACAGGATTGTTCTGGTATATTTGGAAATGTGATTCTATTAAGACGTCAACATTGGGGTAGTTTGAATGCCTGACTTCCTCTGCTTCGACAGCATGGGGAATTCGGATTATACCTCGCTTCTGAGAATTGATATATAGATCAGCCACGCTATGTAGCGAAGGATGGAAAACGGATAATGTTACATTTGAACTTCAGAGGTTACTAATGCAATAGAACCTGATATGTGGAGTTTCCAGGAAGTGGGTGGAAATGATCTGTGTATTGTTAATTAACTTTCATATCTATATTATTATTATGTAATAACCAATTTTGGCATATTAATTTATTGCAAACACTTACTAGTAACATTAATGAGACATGCCAAATCTTCAAATTCACAAGCCCGTTGAGATGCTTCTGGAATAAATATCAGACACTGATTACATTATTGAAATCAATAATACCAACATTGAAGTTACAGAAATGGAAAATTCTAAATAAAAACTAACCGATCCGATAAATAACAAAATTTGCAAAAAATACTGTTGTTACCTTAGCCATGGGCTTAGTAGTTGACGGTGCTACAAAAAAAGTAGCTAGATAAAGTATTGTAAAAAACAAATTTAAAAAAGTAATCACTTTTTGTCACGTTTGCATATTTTTAAAACTTGCAACAATCTAGCCACTTATTTAGATCAATCCAAAAGTCCAAAATATGAAATATTACAAAAGGATATAATAAGGTTAATAATAGGTAATAAGCCTTTGGTTGGTTTATAAGAATGACCAAAAAATTACTGAATAATAGCTAAATTATCTCAAACAGTTATTAGTTCTTTTTTTCTAAAAGTAGATAACGTGGCAACTTTGTTAAAGATGTTTAGATGTTTGTATGTTTGTTAGTCGGTAATAGGCTACGGGCCTAAGAACAAGGAATTACATAGAAAGAATGATAAAATAAAAACTGTAATTCATATAGTCGCCTCCTTTTTTCTTATACATATATAATTAGTAAAAAGAGGACAAAAGATACTCCATCAGTCGCAATTTTTCTTAATTCATAGCAGGCTAGTATATAGAAAATGTTTGATATGTCAATTATTTGTCAATAATAATTTTTACATTACTAGATTATATATTCGATACAGTTTATGTAGAAAGTATGTAAGCAGGTTATATCTGAATTTGGTAAGGTTATACGGCCATATAACATTTTCTATACACTACCCTGCTCTAAATTGAGAAAAATAGCAACTAATGGTTTATCTTTCGTCCTCTCTTTACTACAGTCTATTTACAGTTTTTATTTTATCGTTCCTTCTATGTAATTCCTTGTTCTTAGCTACGGGCGTACTTACTTTTTGGATATTTGTACGGCACACAGCCACAATATTTTAGTAATGTATGCACTCTACATTCAGTGCTACATGTCTCGAAGCTATATTTATTTGAATTCTCTAAATGTAACTCATCATGAAATAAACAATTGCGTTTAGACACTTGTACATCCCGAATTCGAGGGTCAATTTGAAAGATCAACGGCTCGAGGTTAAAATCTAAACTTTCCCCAGACGAGACGAATTTAGACAGAATTGTTGTTTCAGGAAAGTCGCTTGGGTCACTCAATATTATCTGAAATAAGTCAGATAGATGTATTAACACTTTTACAACTCCAAAAAAAGTGAAACAAAAATTTGTGCATCAATGTATTTTTTGGTGATAAAAAGCACAGTTTAAAGGCAACGAAATTTAAATTGAATTTTCAAAGACCTGGCATTTTAACGATATAAAAGTGACGAAATTTCGTGATATTTATTATTTAGGTATGAGTACAAATTGTATAGTGATGACAGTTTTATTCTAATTTAATTAACCAGAAAGAAAACAGGAGAATATATTTGTATGGAAAAAACTGTTCCTGCGTTTTACTTAAAAAATCAAATTATGCGACAGTACTGCCTTGTGACATGTTGAATTTAAACAATAATACACACGACGAGAGATGTTTTTCAAACGTTCACCACAAATTTGGGAATATATATGTACTAATAGTTAATAAATCTAAGGCATTTAAAATTACTGCATCGGGTGAGTACTTTCAGGCATAAGGCAATACTAAAGTTCTTTGCAATTTGCACTTGTAGACCTAATATTTACGTACTCGTACAATAAATATTAAAAAAATATACTACCTTCATTAAAAATTTAGTTTAATGATTTTAAATCATGATAGACAATTTTTTAAATGGAAAAAATAAAGAATACGAATCGAGGGAGGTAAAAAAATATTTCATCTTTTTCACGGAAGAGGTTACTTTAATAATAGTCTTGTATGTATTCTAAATCGATTGTGTTTTCTAAACCAATTTGGGAATTTCTCTTTTTATCTGAAAGATATATACTTTCAGATTTGTCTTAAAGAAATTTTGTCAAAATCCATTCAATAATTTAGTTTAAAAATAAAAATAACTGGTTTTGTTACAATAATTTTTTTTTTTACGGAACTCTATTTTTTTTATACAACTTAGAATGGCAAACTAGCTGACGGCCCACCTGATGGAAAATGGTAACCGTCGCCTACAGACATAAGCAGTACCATAGACATAATAGAGCATACCGTTTCGCCCATGATACCCCCCATGCGTTGTTATTTCTGAGGATTTGGGTATTATTCCTCTGTACCCTTTAAATTCACGCTATATTCCACCCTTCAAATCGAAACACAGCCATGCAAACACAACTGGTTCACGGTAGAAACACGAATAGGACAGAGGTACTCAAGCAATCGACTTTTGTACAAAGTCTCCCTCTGGTAAAATTATATTAATTAAAATACAAAACAAAAATGTTACAATTATAGATAAAAGAACAAAATGATTAAAAAGTTACATTCGCTCCAACATATGGAACGTAAGCCCAGCTGGGATAATCTTCTGGTTCCAAATTGAAGACAACATAAATTCCCGATGTTCTGTAACATTAAATGATGTTGAATTAACATAAACTAGTATTAATTCTAATATTTTATTAATTGTCAAGAGTAAAAATACTGTATTCCAATTATATCGGCTTCTAAAAGTAATAGGCGATAAATATAACTAGCCTATAATTGGGCATTTAATTCAGATGTTCTAGTCGGCTGGCTCACATTTGAGTGAACTGTTTTAAATAATTTGCTTTTCTTTTTTACTAACATAGTTTGTAAGAAAACTGTTACTAACAAAATGGACCAAATTGTAGTCTGAATAATAAAGTATATTATTATTATTATTTACTTCGGCTAACAACACACTGGTATTGCAGTACTCCTCGCAACACAACCGTAAACCGTGCTCATTAATAAAAACTCCTATTGAATCTGAAACTAGTCTATTAACCCTAAAGTTACATGCTTAAATCCGATATTAATAATTACAATACAGTATGACTCACTATAGTTCTTATTCAAGAATAGTAAAATTACTCTTTTCTTTTAATTTAGTTCTACAATTTCTTTTATTTATTTATTAAAAGCAAACATACAGATAGAACAACACATAATTATACACTTAAATAGTAATTTAACAGCCATTAAAGTTTGCACAAGTGTGATACAAGTGAAGGATACACAGAATTAAACAATACAAAATTAAACAAATTAAACAAATTAAACAATACTGTTGAAAACTATAGCAACCCTGTCAATAATAATGCTCATAATGTTAACAAAGCCATCCATTTATTGAGAACATTGCATGGAAGAGATCGCTCTTAGCGATAAGGTCGCCCATTGTTTTCTCATTGTGATTATTTCTTGTAATTATTTATATTTATAATAAGTTTACTATTGTAATCATTTGGAGGAAACAATAAAGAGTATCTATCTATCTGTCTATCTAAGAACAGATTTTTGTACATTTCACATCTGCTTTCTAATCTTTCAAATTGCATCGGTTATTACAACAAACAAGAATTTCTTATTTCGGAATTTGTCATGTAGCAAAACTTCGAACATTGCACTCTCTATAGCATGTTTTTATCAAATTCATGCTAGATAAACTCTTACTTGTTCACACTTGGCTAAATCTAGTCTATACTAAACTACGATAATGCATATAGTTTACCTTCCAGCCTTTGGAGTGGCTAGAATACGTAAATTTGTCGATTTATCATCAGACTGCTCCTCGAAATATTCTATATTGTCACCAGATTGTAACAGATTACTGAAATGGAAATAGATTTGCAGATAAATGATTTTGAGATAATCAATAATACACAAACTACTTCTACTATTACTTCTACCACATTCATCAATTTTTATTGATTATCTTGATTGATGAATGTGGAAGAAGCGAAAGAGGTTTGTTTGAATCGAAGCATTTGGCGTTCCATTGATTCTGCCTACCGTAATGGGAGACAATTGTGGCTAATATGTATGCATATGTATATATATATATATATATATATATATATATATATATATATATATATATATATATATATATATATATATATATATATATATAATAATCTTATCTTACTAATGTAATAAAATTGTAACTATCTAGTTAGGCGATGTCTGTTCATGTAATATTAATATGTGGGGTCTTAAAAAGAATGATAGATACCAAAACAATGTTTGTTAAAAAAAATATCTGCCTATCTGTCTTTTTGTATATTTGTTCCGGCATCACACAAAATTTTGCTGCACCAAATTGGATGCAGTTTTCAAAGCTGTATTTACATACATACATACATACATTAGGGTAGGCAGAAACAATATATTTACTTATTTTTTTTATTATTTATAGCATATTAAAACTTTGTACAAGTGACGAGCTTAATACCATATGGCATTCTCTACCAGATAATCATTAGCTAAGAACCGAAAACGTTTAAACTGATTTAGATAATTCTTTTTTTATCTGAAAGGATATACTCGTACTTACAGATCCTGTAGAAATTTTATCGCAAATGATTCAGTAATTTAGCTTTTATTTTAAACTAGCGACCCGTCCCGGCGTCGCATGGGTGGACATTTTTACATTTTAAAAAGTGGCCATTGTGGCTGCACACGCGACGGAAGCTTAAAAACGGAGTAACTTCTCCCGTTTTCCCAACATTTCCTTTCACTGCTCTGTTCCTATCGATCGTAGCGTGATGAAAAGTATAATTAATAATAATTGTACCAAGTTTCGTTAAAATCCGTCGAGTACTTTTTGTTTCTATAACAAACATACAGACAGACAGACAAAAATTTTACTGATTGCATTTTTGGCATCAGTATCGATCACTAATCACCCCCTGATAGTTATTTTGGAAATATATTTCATGTACAGAATTGACCTCTTTGCAGATTTATTATAAGTATAGATATAGATAGAAGATATGTTATATGATTATGACGTCAATTCTGAGCTGATCTCAATAGTTCTTTTTGCTAACAATAGATGGCATCACACACGATGACGATGGATGAAGTAATTGGTCTAATTTTTTTTTTTTGTGATAACTGAAGCTGCAGTTTTTCCTTATAGAGCATAAAACCGGAAAAATATGTGATGAAATGTTGCGAAGCAGGATTATCTAAACACATAATATTTACAATGTCGACGAAATAAGTGGTCGTGGAGTGTGAAGCGACGTATCTCAGCGTTATTTGTGCATTTATGATTGAAATTGCCTATTTTTTTTTTCGAATAAATATGTACTTTTGTTACGTCATAGTCGCCAAAAATTATCAATTTGCGATCATTAATTGGTTGAATTTTTTTTTTACTTTTCGTTATTAGTCGATAACATTGACGACAGATATAACTAACAAGACAGCAGCTAACTGCTGTCTTGTAGGTCTAAACCTAGAAATAAAAACTTATATTTTGACCTTAGATTACCTTAGATAGAAATAATTCGAGAAAAACGGGTCAACTTTTTTTAATTTTGCGTGATAAACAGTTATGAGTGATTCCTTTGTAACTTCTATATTTATTTTGTCTTATAAATTCTGCATCTTTTTAATGCGTAAACACTAATTTTTTTTTATTAAATAATACGTTAAGATACATTTTATGCGTAAATATATAGAATACTGATAAAAAAATGAGTCAGTTAATTTGAAAATTAGCTGACAAAAAGTTCACCCGTTTTTAAGGCTTGATGCTTTATTTATAATATATACTATAAGATTTTGGCATACAAATATGGAGAAAAATATTTCTGTCTGTATTCGAAAGATGCAGGTATTTTACGTCAGAATAGTATTGGGTGCTATGCCAGTTGCATTGATTGTTCAAAGTAAAGGAGAAACATAAAGCATTCTTGTACAACATGTGTAAATACTATATGTATGAAACGTGTATGAAACGAAATTGACTTCTTGACTTATTTCCAAAAAACAGCAATATTCATAATATTAATACTAGATTTAAAGACAAACTTGCTGTCCCCAAGTATCGTTTAGAAAAAGTTAATAGGTCTTTTATGGGAATAGGTATAAAAATTTACAATAAGATACCAAAGGATATGTTGGAATTACCCTTAAATAAATTCAAAACATCTGTTAAATCATATTTACTGAGCAAAGCCTATTACTCACTAAACGATTACTTGAATGACGAGTGTGCATGGCAATAGTTGTTCATGCACTGAATTTTCATTTAATGTTAGACATAGACACCTATATAAATATACATTGTAAATAAACTGGCTTTAAAAAAAAAGTAATTCAATTGAGTTTCTTGCCAGTTCTTCTCAATTGGATCTATATACCGAACTGGACGGTAGGGCAAAAAATAAAATTATAATGTAAAAATTTGACGTTCATAAGCGGCTAAAATGTCCTACATGAATAAATTTTTGAATTTTGAATTTTGAATGTTTCGCGTAAAATTTGTAGTGATAATGATTTTAGTTCCCATCATCATCATTGTCATATTAACCATTGAACACATTTCACTGTTGAACATAGACCACCTCCATAGGTTAGTTCCCAAGACGTACAAAAATATTATAATAACATTTTATTACTTCATTTTATTCATAGTCTGGTGTTTTTTTATATAATTAATTATATTAATTTAATTATTAATTATTTAATTAAATTAATTATTATTATTTTATGTTATTTTGTTATTATTATATTGTTTTTATTTGTTACAGAAGTTAATGAAAGATTTGCCTCTTTTTTTATTTAAAAAAAAATATATATTCTTTAAATTTTTCTAAATAACAATAAAACGTGGATTAAAATAACTTGAAACTGTACTTTTTGCACTTAAACTTAATTATTGTTAATAATAATTTTATAAAATGCAATCTAATATCATAATCATATAATTATACATTAATATGATATTTTCAGACAATTTAGTGTGCTTAAAAAACCACCACGTAGTCAGTGTAACAGTTTACCAGCAAAATTTCGTCGATTTAAATCGCCAAGATATTAGTAGAACGAACTAAACAACAAGACACGTGACTGCCTGTTCTAAATTTAAATATGATATGATACGAGTATAATGGCTGTGTTTCGATTTGAAGGGTGGGATATGGCGTGAATTTACTGGGTACAGAGGAATAACACCTGAGTCCTCAGGAATGGCAACGCATGGAGGGTATCATGAGCGAAACAGTATACTCTGTTATGTCCATGGTACTGCTCATGTCTATAGGCGACGGTTACTACTTTCCATCAGGTGGACCGTCAGCTTGTTTGCCATTCTAAGTTGTATAAAAAAAAATATTTTCGGTTGAATATTGTTAGCCAGTAAACATATAAGATCGAAGTCTACTACTAAGCCCACAATATTGCGCTGTAAGCGAAAGTAGATCAAGCATTTCCTTGTACACAACAACAATATTCACGAAAATACGTATTATTTGAAGGAATTCATGTGAAAAAATAACAGCGCAATTTGTTACGCATGTTACGTAGATGTAAGAGCTTTATTTAAGGGCGTTCATACCGAAAGTTCATACTGGTAATGTCGGAATTTCCATTTTTTATACTACTACGGTGATAAACAAGCTTACAACCCCTCTGATGGTAAACGATTATCGTAGCCCATGAACACCTGCTCCCTAGACAAGTGTCAAGCAAATCCATCGAAGGAATCGTTACGGAAAATGCGAACATGAGTTGGAATGAGACATCCGAAGTTGCTATCTTCTCGTTCTATCGCTATACGCTATACGGACTCGCCAGTGATGTCGATTCCAATAATGAATTTTTTTTATACTACTTAGAATGGCAAACAAGCTGACGACCCACCTGATAGAAAGTGGTAACCGTCGCCTATAGACATGAGCAGTACCATAGACATAACAGAGTACACTGTTTCGCCCATGATACCCCCCATGCGTTGCCATTCCTGAGGACTCAGGTGTTATTCCTCTGTACCCTGTAAATTCACGCCATATCTCACCCTTTAAACCGAAACACAGCCATGCAAACACAACTGCTTTACGGTTAAAACACGAATTTATTTACTATTTGTTTAGAGAGTCAGTAACACCAAGAATGTCGCACATGTTTTGTCTCAAGAAATTTATAACGCCCTTTAAGAACTTTCTTAACTTAGCTGTCAATTTTCAAAAGCGATTGAAAATTTGCAATTTTATTAACTGATATATATTTTTAATACAACCTACTTATACTTATTTATTATTATTTATCAGAATAAATAACTATTCTAACTCTTAAGTTGGAATAAACAATACAGATTTATTAAATTTCATTGAAATTGTTTATGCCGTTTCTGAGATTAGCGTAAGCGAACCTCGCATTATGCTATATATTAAGATAATATTAAAATATATAGAACATAGATATATTGCAAGACCATATATTCACAAACTAAACAGAACTTGTATTGTACGTATTGATATAATCGACTTAAATATTCTCTTACTCTTGAACACACATACTAAACTTAATTCACATGAACAGATCTGCTGGAAGAAATATCTCAGAGGTAAGTTTGCCTTTGAACACTACTTTTAAAATTGAATATTTTTACCACTATATTTGTATACAATAAAGAATATTATTATACTAACAACGAACTAAAAACATTATATGTGATTTCTATTATCATTGAAAATTTTGAGATTGATGAAAACTTTAAAAATAACACTTGAAGTAGGTGTAATTTTTTTATGTTACATGTCATTATATGTTTTAGTTCAATGTCGGTGAAATCTTTTGATATCGTCATCGTCCTGCTCTGATCCCAATTTTTTGGGGTCGGCTTAATATGTTTTTTTTTTTCATATTACATAAGATTTTGAATTTTTTTTTACTTTATTTATTTAGGGACTTTTGTCCTTTTAGGCACGTCAGTCCCATCGTAACTTAATCAGTTTTAGGACATCATTGTATATATTTTAACAATCAAAAGTTCACAATTTTACAAAATTTTAACAATCAAAAACACCACCAAATCAAGTAATATGAATGAAAGGAATGTCGTGGAACAAAAAAAAAAAACTTAATAATCTATGGTCCGATGCAGGTAAACACATTAAAACCATATCATATTTTGATTTTTGGTTTTACAATTGGCCGCCTATCTGATATAAACCCTCCTTAAGAGAGGGAATTCTTTAGATAATCCTTAAAAAATGAAGCAATTGTCAAATTATTTGTGAATATTTGATTGATAGTCAAGTAGTTGTGTCCAAGTACTTTAAAATTTTCATTTTTGTTAAATCTACTGCAGGGTTCGGAATGTCGCCGTCTATTGAGAAGAGCCGGCAAGAAACTCAACATTAAATATGGCGTTTGGGGGGAAAGGGGTTGTTAGCAATGGAGTTTGACAGCCCCATTGCTAGCAATATGCCCTATCAGGTCGACCTCCACATGGTTCCCCCTGGAAACCAGCGTGAACAATTCTTGTTGAATTTGTCACGATGGGCTAAATGGCCTGCTTCATCCTCACCTATCATCTTTTACTGGTGCCCCGCCGGTGTATACCGATAACGCGGGTGGGGTTACCATTCAATTACCACCCACAAAAAAAATAGCGTTTTAGTATGAACACCCTTAACATAAGCACACCCATGTCATAGGTCATCGTTTTGTCACATAATGTAGTACGCAGTGCACGTCATGGTAGCGCATACTCACATTTTACTCGCGACGTGGTATTTTAAATTTCATAACAATTGGCTGAGCCGTTTAAGCCCCAAGGGATAACATACAAACAGACTCACTCATATATGATTGGTGTCTTTTGAAAAATATCTATGTCTCAGAATAATATAATTATGATATTACCAATATCCATACCACATTATTGTCTAAATTCATCACCATCATATCCCACTAATCCACTTTAACTGTCACACCATTAAGTATCCACTGCTGAACATAGGCTGGCCCATAAGTGGGTTTTTCCGGTAGTTGTCACGCTTAGCGGGTGAGTTGGCAACCGCAGTTAGGGTTTTGGTGATGTTTTAAACGGAACACTGCTGCCTCTTGACTAATATATAAATAGATAGATAGATAAACACTTTATTTGAGCCATTTATGACACACGTAAATTAACAAATGAGTTTATACAATCAGATTATTTACATTTTTTTAAATATAAAACAAAAGATGAAATATGGGAATATGTTTTCACCAAATGTGTCGCAGAGACTCAAATAGGCTACAGCTCAGTGATAGTTTTGCTTAAAAGCAAAGCACTGATTTTCAGCTACGGCCTGAAGTTAGGCTACACGGACGCGTACAACAAACCCAGAGTGTAACCTGTGTAGCCAATTTAACAGCCAAAGGTAAAATTGATTTTTTTTTCTACCACTTAGAATGGCAAACAAGCTGACGGCCCACCTGATGGAAAGTGGTAACCGTCGCCTATAGACATGAGCAGTACCATGAACATAACAGAGTATACTGTTTCGCCCATGACACCTTCATGTGTTGCCATTCCTGAGAACTCAGGTGTTATTACTCTGTACCCTATAAATTCACGCCATATCTCACCCTTCAAACCGAAACACAGCCATGCAAACACAACTGCTTTACGGTTGAAACACGGACGGAACAGAGGTACACAAGCAAATGATTTTTGTACAAAGTCTCCCTCTGGTATTTAGTAATTTCTCTAAACCAATAGGTTATGAGCAAGCCCGCATTAACTGGGGGGAAAGGAATTATTAGTAAAGGGACTAAAGGCCCTATTGTTAATAATATATCTCATTAGGTCAACCTTCACGCGGTTCTCCCTGGAAACCATCTTGATTGTTTTTTTTTATTAACTCATCACTATGACCCAAATGATCTGCTTTCATTCTCACTTATCATCCCTCACTGGTGCCCCGCCAGCGTATACAGTACAAGCGGTGTTACTATTCCATTATCACCCATAAAAAATGTCCGAATTGATCACATTGGGGCCCCGAGACTAGGCAGGTTTTTTTTATGGGTGAAAGTGGAACGGTAACCCCGCCTGCGCTAACGGGATACGCTGGCGGAGCACCAGTGAAGGGTGATAGATGAGAATAAAAACAGGCCAGTTAGCCTATCATGATGAATTCATCAGGAATTAACCATGATAGTTTCCAGGGGGAACCGCGAGGAGGTCGACCTGGTTGGGTATATTGCTAGCAATAGGATTCTCAGTCCCTACGAGGCAAGTTCCCCTCACATAAATATAATACTATAATATTATTTCACGTATATTAATTTGAAATGCGTCACAGAATGTACTGAAATAAAATGACGAAGAAAAATAGTATTTTCATGAAAGTTTGACGAATATAAATATTCAAATGTAATTTTTCGTTTAAAGAAACAGCCTCGGTATGCTGGGCCCCTGGTCGATGGGGGGCCCTAAGTAGTTATTTATACTGCCTAATGGATAAATCGACTCTGGTTCTTTTCAGCAGGCTTAAAAAAAAGGCATTCACAATTTGGTTATATATTTTTTTGTTTGTAACCTCATAACTGCGTCAGTTCTAAATCGATTTGGAACATTACTTTTTTTATCTAAAGGGATATACTTACAGATTAGTAACATAGAAATTTTATCAAAATCGGTTCAGTAATCTGGAAGAGATTGCTTAGTAACGAGGCCACTTTTTGTATTACTTCTCATTAATAATTTATTGTAATTTTTTTGGAACAAGTGCAATAAAGAGACGTTGTACAAAAGTCGATTGCTTGGGTCTTCCCACCTCTGTCCCATTCGTGTTTCTACCGTGAAGCAGTTGTGTTTGCATGGCCGTGTTTCGGTTTGAAGGATGGGATATGGCGTGAATTTACAGGGTACAGATGAATGACAACTGAGTCCTCAGAAATTCATGGGCGAAGAAGGGAGTTCATGGGCGAAACAGTATACTCTATTATGTCTATGGTACTGTTCATGTCTATATGCAACGGTTACCACTTTCCATCAGGTGGACCGTCAGCTTGTTTGCCATTGTAAGTTATATAAAAAAAAAATAAAGTGCAAAATAAATAATACCGTTTACTTGCATTTTGATCTCTTATATCTTATATACTATAGAGAGAGAGAATTTATATAAAAATTGTTTGTTGAAATAGAGGTACCCTAACCTGTATCCAAATCTTGTTTCTGCTCTAAAACAGTTGTATTTACATGGTTGCGTTTCGGTATGAAGAGTGGAATATGGTAGTTTAATAACAGGGTATGGAGGCATAACACTTTAGTCCTCAGGAATGGCAACTCATGGGGTTATCATGGGTGAAATAGTATACTCTATTATGTCTATGGTACTGCTCATGTCATCAGGCGGGCCATAGGCTTTTTTGTTATTCTAAGTTCCATAAAGAATTATATCACTGCATACACTAAAAGGCGACTAAAAGAACTCAACGGTCAAGAGACGAGCAGCAGCATCCCTCTTAAAACATCACCAAAGCCTAACTGCAGTCGCCAACCCGTCCGCCAAACGTGGCAGCTACTAGCAAAACCCCACAATTAAGAGTAGATCTATATCCAACAGTGGACAGTTAACGGCTGAAATAATGGCGATGATAATGATGAAGTTAATAATACACTACTTTTTATCCTACTTACTCTTTACTGCCGTCATTTGGCATACCATAGTTAAAGCCGCAGCAGTACCCATCGACAGTTTTGACTAGACTGAACATGTCACTGCAATTCTTTTCTATTGTATTAAACATGCAGTACACTGCGAGGTTTTCGCATTTCTGATGCAACTGAAACAAATAAATAGTTATTATATATATTATTCAAGAACACACACACGCACACACACACACGCACGCGCGCGCACACACACACACACACACACACACACACACACACACACACACACACACACACACACACACACACACACACGCACGCACGCACGCACGCACTCGCGCGCTCACACACACACACACACACCACACACACACACACACACACGCACGCACGCATACACGCACGCACGCACACACGCACGCACACGCACACGTACACATATAAATGCCCACAACCACCTTTTATCGCCGCACCGCTCGCCATCGGCAGGGAATTCATTCTCGCACGCTAGAACCTAAATGGTCATGTACAGTTTCAAAAGAATTTTCACCCGCGAAAGCTTAGGTTGTAGAATGAGCTAACTGCCGAAGTTTTCCATAGAGATTACAGTATGGCGCTCTTTAAAAAGTGTATATTAAAGTTTGTTCGGGGTTGGCAACGCGCACGTGGCTTCCCTAGTGTTTGGGCATCCATAGGCTATAGTAACTACTTACCATAGGGGCTATATGCTTGTTTACCACCACCGTGGTATATAAAAAATATTTAGTATATATACCTATACTTGGAAGGAGTTGGTGTCGTGTCGTATCAAGAGGTGAAGAGACTCGCTGAAAATCGTAGTGAGTGGCGAGAGCTCCACCGACAAGAGCGCAGCTCTTAAATAGGATAGATAGATATACATATAGTTCAGCTTGTTTATTTTTTCTAAGTACAAATATAATAATATTAAGCCATAATAATAATTCAAAATAGACATATTTGGTTAATGAAGACATCGAGAGAGATCGATCCCAAATAATAGAAATATAAAATATAAATAGACAGAAATAAGAATAAAACGTACGTATTTAAAATTTACGTTATATTGTAAATGACAAGTAATTAAAATATAATTTATTTAATAACGGCCGAGTCGTTTCCACGAATTCAAAATTGAATCTCGACCTATCTACGAATATTGTCAATATTTCTTACATATAAGAGACATTTACGGATGATAAAAATATATGAATAAAACATATAATTGACCAATTATGTAAGCTGTTTACTGGAGAAGAAAAATAATTTATACATTAAATATTTTTTTATGCAACTTAGAATGGCAAACAAGCTGACGGTCCACCTGATGGAAAGTGGTAACCATCGCCTATAGACATGAGTACCATGGACATAACAGAGTATACTGTTTCGCCCATGATACCCATTACCCATACGTTGCCATTCCTGAGAACTCAAGTGTTATTACTCTGTACCCTGTAAATTCACTGCCAAACTCCACCCTATAAACTGAAACATAGCCATGCAATCACAACTGCTTCACGGTAGAAACACGAATGGATCAGAGGTGCCCAAGCAAACGACATTTGTACAAAGTCTCCCTCTGAGTATGTTTCAATAGAACTAAATGGAAATATAAGCAAACGAATAACTGACCTGACTATAAGATGGTCTCATCATCATCATATCACTGTTGAACATGGACCTCCTTGACTCCTTAGCTCTATTGAGAGATTTTACCAGTAACTGGCAGCCGGGTTGATGACCGCAGTTAGACTGATGATGTTTTAAGAGGGACACTGTTACGCATCCCTCGGTTATCGTGTTCTCTTAGTCGCCTCTTACGACACCCACGGTAAAGGAAAGGGTGACCTATTCTATGCTGTGACCACACGACATAAGTCGTTCTGCTGGTGTCCAGTAGAAACAAATATAAATGTTTAGATTTGTACAATTTCATTTCCAGATTATTTCTGTGATATTTCATTTCTTTTTCATTTCATTATTATGAAGTATTAGTTTAATATAAAGAGTGGGTTCGTAACTATAAATATTAATACAATATAATATAAATTATATATGTACTAATTTTTATTAAAATCTCTCCAGTAAATTTAAGGATAATTAAGTAACAAATATCCAAACATATTTATAAACTTTTACATTTATAATTCCAAACAAATAGTTTATAGTTTTTCATGATGCAAACATCTGTCCAAATTACAAAAGTTTTATTAATAACTCACCTCTGTTCGTAAACTACAAAAATGGATAATAATAAGTATAGCACACACACAAACACACACGCATACGCACGCACGCACACATACACACGCACGCACACATTCACACACACACGCACGTATACTCGCGCATATCCAAAAATACACACACACGCGCGCACACACACACGTACGCACGCACCACACACACACAAACATACCTAGCGCCAGGTCTTTAAGCTAGGATACCTGAGTTATGAGGAACCAAGCAACGAAAAACTGATAGCACAACTCAGAATACCCAGACCCATACCAATACAGAAAATTTTGGTCGAGAATCGAACTGGAGGCTTAGCACTTTATTTACAGCACTGAACTGGTAAACGAGCACATATCCCACCAGATAGTAAGCGGTTACCATAGTCTATAAACGCCTGCAAAACCAGAGGCATTACGAGCGCAATGCTGATCCTGAAGAAACCTCTTTACTCCTTTTTTGAAAAACTCCAAGCTGTAGTCTCTTAGAAAAACCTCGACAATGAGCTCTTTCCATAACCTGAGTGTTCGTGGGCGGAAACTTTTCTGACCATCTAGACTCTAAGGTATGGGGGGAACTTACCGTCGATAGCAATTTATATGATGGTAGAAAGTGGCCATGGGCATCATGTTGAACAATTTCTCTGAGCACAGTCCATTGTACAAGCGGTAAAATACGTAGAAAGAGGTAAAATTCTTAAATAATTTCTATAAAATTCTCACCAGAGGGAGACTTTGTACAAAAGTCGATTTCTTGGGTACCTCTGTCCCATTCGTGTTTCGATCGTGAAGCAGTTGTGTTTGCATGGCTGTGTTTCGATTTAAAGAGTGGGATATGGCGTAAATTTACTAGGTACAGAGAAATAACACCTGAGTCCTCAAGAATGGCAATGCATGGGGGTATCATGGGCGAAACAGTATACTCTGTTATGTCCATGGTACTGCTCATGTCTATAGGCGACGGTTACCACTTTCCATCAGGTGGGTCGTCAGCTTGTTTGCCATTCTAAGTTGTATAAAAAAATCCCTAAATCCTTAAAAATAATATAATTACCTCTTCCATTATGGTGTTTACAGTGAAGTAATGGTATTTCAAAATGTCCATTATCTCCTTGTAATGACCTACTCGAGTACTGTCGATGTCATAATTTGTCAAGTACGCAAGATCACTGAAGAAACTGTTAATTTCACTTTGACTTCTGTTGTTCTTCAACCTAGAAGTAAATAATTCTATAGCCTTTGGTTGAACTTTTTTTTATACTACATAGAATGGCAAACAAGCTGACGGTCCACCTGATCGAAAGTGGTAACCGTCGCCTATAAACATGAGCAGTACCATGGACATAACAGAGTATACTGTTTCGTCCGTGATACCCCTCATGCGTTGCCATTCCTGAGGACTCAGTTGTTATTCCTCTGTACCCTGTAAATTCACGCCATATCCCACCCTTCAAACCGAAACACAGCCATGCAGACACAACTGCTTAACGGTTGAAACACGAATGGGACAGAGGTATCCAGCAAACGACTTTTGTACAAAGTCTCCCTCTGTTAAAGTACTGTATAGTACTTAGTAAGATTCCTAAATTTATGTTGTAATTCTAGCATTAGAACATTCCAGTAATTATTATTTCTGAACGCCCTTACAGTAACTAAGTCTATATCTAACGTTCCACGGAGTTCGAAAATATTATCATTAGATTAATAGTCAACGAGATAACTTTTATTTGGATTACTAACTTAATAGTAACTGAACAAATTATTTACTTAAATATTTACTGAATGATATTTTCAAGAATTTTGGAATGTTAAGCTATAATGTTGCAAGTGTTGGTACTTCTTCTTAGTGGATCTTAATAGAATGGTAATCCTGCTTGCGCTATCGGTATACGTTGGTGGAGCACCAGTGAGGGATGAAAGGTGAGGATGAAATCAGTTAAATTAGCCCATAGTGACAGATTCAACAAGGTTTTTAGAGAAACTGCGTATAGGTCGACCTGATAATCCTATCAGGTCGACCTATACGCAGTTTCTCTAAATATTGCTAGCAATAGGGGATCAACATCACCATTACTAAAAAATCTCTATCCTCCCAGTATCAGTACTTGGTGCAAGTAATATTAGCAGTATATTAATCAAATACCTTTGAAATTGCAAAAATATTTGGAAGTTAACTAAATTAATTGTACGGTTATTACCCTTATACATTCTATAGTTTTCTTTCAGCTTCGCAAAGGTTCACTGTAAGATATCCCTTTATGGGATAAGTCCACCATTGTATATTAAATCATTTATCAGTGCTTAACTTGAATTATGTACAATAAAGATTTTTACAATACAATACAATAAATGGTAAGAAAAAATGAATCTACCAAGTTCCATTTCCATGTTTCTGCTATGAAAGAGCTATGCTTGAATGCTGTCTTTTTATTTCAATGTTGGGGATAGTGTAGTGAAATTAGATGAGGTACATGGTATAACATCTTAGTCCTCGGGAATAGCATGAACATTGCAATGTATTTTATGTAATTTGTAGCTCATGGTACTTATTTCATGTCTATAGGCGACAGTTACCATTCTCCATCAGTTAGAGCGTCAGATTGTACGCTATTTTAAGTATTATAAAAAAAATAGCAAATAAGCAATAGATTGGCATTTAGAAATAAACAAAAATGTAGTTGTTTATATTAATATCTTAGAAATGCTTCATGGAAAATTGTTACTCTATTTGCTACTAGCTATATCATTTGGTTCCGCGTGATTTAGTTTATACAATATACCACGTACTAGACTAGGATATAATCTACCAGTGCACCAAATTTCATTTAAATAAGTACAGTAGTTTTTGCGTGAAATAATAACAAACATCCATCTATCCCTTTATAAATCTTCGAATTTATAATATTAATAAAATTTACACTCACAGTAATTGTTCTATACGCTTCGTTGCCTTCAAAGATATGATATTGAAATTGCAAATACTGACAGCAGGAAATGGTACATCTGACACTTTGCAATTGACATTGAGCTGTAAAGAAAAACGATTCTTTGATTAAAGAAAAAAAAATGAAACTCATTTAACTACTTTTACGTACTAATTATACAAAATTGGCGTCAGGCTTCCTCGTCTCGTCGTTGTTGTAAACTAAGTTCTCTGAGTTACCTTGCTGTGCATCTAAATTACTTTGTGTTCTCCAAATGAAACGTTTTAACAATTCAGGTATGAATAAAAAGAAATTAAACCACGTTTACCATATCATACGTGGACTAGCGCTTTGTAGAGTAGAATTATTGCTATTGTAAATTTTAGTTGTTTAGTTAAATTTTCTAAAAAGAGTAAACGAGAAGAGAACATTGATTGAAATAATAAAGAATATAAGAGGCAAAATGCTGCGCCACCTTATACGACATGACGATTTTTTTAAGAGCATAATAGAAGGAAAGATAGAGGGCAAAAGAGGAAGAGGAAGACCGAGGATTAACTACATGGGACAGATAAAGGAAACACTAGGCGTCATGTCGTATAGGGAGATAAAGAATATGGCCTGGGATAGAGCTGGCTGGAGGAAGATGCATGAATTAGTTGCACCGACAAGAGGAAACTCTTAAATGAAAAAGAAGAGAAGAAGTTAAATTTTAGTTTAAAATTTGTAGAGTTTGTAGTGTTGGTATAATGTTTTGAAATACCTGAATAATTAGCTTGTCTCCGTCATATTTATTTATTACTATCATTATAAAGCAAATTGTTAAGAGAAAATTAGCAGCCATTAAGAGGTTCCAAGTTAGAAGAGGTTTGCCTTTCTTCTCTATGCACCGCACTGTTCCATGTATAGTTGTTATATTTTCCATTATTGCTTTCAAAGTATTCGTTTTATTCGCCTTCTTATCAGACATTTTGAAGCTGAAAGTAAGATGGCTTTTTATTGCTATTTTAGTAATTTATTATCGTATTTTTTTATAAAGCTTAAGAAACAAGATGACGGCCTATCTGATAAGTATAACTGTCAGCTATAAATATAAACAGTACCATGGACATTATATATATATATATATATATATATATATACACATATATACTGATTTGAATATTTTTTTGTTTTGTTCATTACAATGCAGAGGTGGTTTAAAAGAAAAAAAAATAAAAAAAATAAAAAAATTTATATCAGAATCATTACGACCGATTCCATTCATCACACTATAAGGGAAGAAGAAGGACATAGGCTACTTTTTATCCCGGTCAGTGGGAATACGTATTCCGGTCATACGGACGAAGTCACGTCGCTAAGTAATAAATAAGAAACAAACTTCTTTAAGAATAAAAGAAATCGACTTTTGTACAAAATCTCCCTCGTACTCCAAAAATTAATTCTTTTGAGTAAAAATAATATGTGGGTATTAAACAAGGGTTCTCACTGAACACTGCAAACTAAAAAAGCATATAGCCCAACTAGGATCATGCCCAAAAAGTGTTTGCAGATTTTGTCACAATGAGGAAGAAACGCCGAAGCACTGAATGTATGGCTGTAGCCCATTTATACATAAACGATATATCTGCTTTGGAAAACACTCTCTATATCCTGAGGAGATAAAAAAACGTTGCTACAAAAAACATTTTAAAATTCCTATCATTGATAGGAATTAGCTGCGAACTTTAAAAAGGGCGAGCACAAACAGTCATGGAAAGGTGTTATAAGTTTTTCTGTCTGAAAAAGCCTGTTTTTTAATAAAAAATAATAATGGTTGCAGCTTGCAAATATTAATTGTCAAACTTATTTTATTTTATTTCAATAGGTACACATTACAGAGAATTAACATGGTTACATTAATTTATATAGTACAAAAATGTTTTGTTCAAGCTAATCCTCCAAACATATGCGTACACAGCATGATCAAAACATAAACACACAGCTAAACAAGTCTGTAAACACAATATAATTTATACAACAAAAAATTATTTAACTTATACATTAACAATTATAAAAGTAAATATACAAACACAGATAATCATATACATATATATACACATACAAATTTTATATACATACACACACACACACACACACACACACACACACACGCACACACACACACGCACGCACGTACGCACGCACGCACGTACGCACGCACGCACGTACGCAGGCACGCACGCACGCACGCACGCACACATACAGAAGAACACATACCACAGTGTACATATTACGTTCATATATATGTTACAACAAAAGAAACTATCTACTTAACTACGTACCTGTTTTTTATGTGTATATTTTTCGTACGATGCATTTTTTTTCTAATTTAAGTACCCAAATCAATCACTATATGACTATTCCGATACAAGTTTTTCTTCTGACTCTTTTTTAATTCTAATTCTTTAACTGACTAACTCATTACGTTGTTTTCTACTATATTAAATTTTAATGAAAGCTCATTATATGAAGTAAGTTTAACGACGCCATATCGAGTTAATGGGTTCTTTGTAAAAATGTGTTCTTATTTCTATAAAGTAACTGTGTTAATGGATAGACTAAGAAACTTTAATAAAATGAGCTTTATTTATTTACACAGGTAACTTGAATCAGTATAAACAGAATTGTAAGGGTGTTTTTAAATATAAATTTTTGAATTATTTTTGTACTTACATAATTACCAAAGGGAGACTTTGTACAAAAGTCGATTGCTTGGGTACCTCTGTCCCGTTCGTGTTTCAACCGTGAAGCAGTTTTGTTTGCATGGCTGTGTTTCGGTTTGAAGGATGGGATATGGCGTGAATTTACTGGGTACAGAGGAATAACACCTGAGTCCTCAGAAATGGCAACGCATGGCGGGTATCATGGGCAAAACAGTATACTCTGTTATGTCCATGGTACTGCTCATGTCTATAGGCGACGGTTATCACTTTCCATCAGGTGGACCGCCAGCTTGTTTGCCATTCTAAGTTGTATAAAAAAAAATCAAAAATTTAGTTTATTGCTAGTAATTTTTTTGTTTATACATTTTTGCATTGCATGATTTATGGTTTACTAGTTTCTAACCGCGAATTCGTCCGTGTGACAGAAATATATTTACTGATCGAGATAAATATAATAGTAAAAAATCTCAATGTTCTTCTCCTTCTTATTTAGTGGATATCGAATTTCATAGTGATTGGTTAAGCTGTCAAGGTGATAGAAGTTAACAAATAAACAAACTCACTTTTATATTTATAAAGTAAGTAAAAATAATATATAGTATACGAGTATGACAATAAGTGGGTAGAAGAAAATACTTCCGCCTCAAAAGCGGAGACTCGACTTTACTAGTCATTCTACTTGTGACTGCGGCCGGCGTAAGTTGGTCGAGACGTCGATACAACCAGGTATTGATCGTGTTTTTTTCTATCATTATATTTTTGTCAAATGGCGTATTATAGCTCAATTTTTAATACATTTTAATTGAGGTAAATACAACAATGTTAAAAATTAATGAAACGGTAACATACAATTAATCGTTATGAAATAATATACTTTTAAATATGATTTCATAACGGTTATATAATAAATAGCAGTTTTGTTTAATACCTTTACCGATATTATAATTGGAAGGTAAACTCTAGAGAATTCCCTTAAAAACTTTTGAAGTAAAAAAAATAAAATTATTTTGATTCCTATTACAAATAAATAACGTTCATTTTTTTGTAATATTTTTTTTTCATCATATTTGACCAATTTTATAGAGTTGACTTACTGCGTTCGTAATATAGTTAAATAGTGCAAGAGATTGAATGAAAGTATAGACAAATTGCATGCTATTGGTTGCAGTTAGTGGTATAGTTGTTCAATGGTATATATTTAAATAAATACCGAAACTGAAATGCTTTTTCTTTTTAATACGGTTTCGAATAATATTAAATTCTAATTTTAATAATAAATGCTACATCAATCGTCGCATTCTTAAACTTAATTTTACTGTGTTAGAAGGTAACCAACAAGGATAACCAGACAACAAACATCCCAGAACACCAAAACACGAGCCACTTCAGAAAACGTAGTTTCTCAAATTGGCCCCACCGGGAATTGAACACGGGACCTCATTTACACAAAGCAACGTGAACCACGGAAGTCGCCGAATTTCCTACAATTCGAAATTCGAATACACAGAATTAGAAGTGCCTACAAAAAAATAAATATATGTTGAAAAAGGCATAGTTTAGAGGATTAACGAAGCAAAGTTTAGTTTATTACAAGTGATATTTTAAAAGTGTACCAAAAACATTGGAAGTACTACAGACGGTCACGTTAATAAAAATAAATTCCAAATTCAATAATTCAAAAGGCGATAAGGCCGCCTTTTGTATCACTTCTCATTAATATTTACTGTATTTGTTATTTCTGTTTTTACTTGATGCAATAAAGTGTAAATAAATAAATAAATTCAACCAAGTAACAACAATAACTCCAACAATAACATAATTTATAAACGGTTTCGATACAGACGGGGGTTGGCATCTATATTTAACTTTTGTAACATTACGACAAGTGCTTTAGTAAGTGCACGCTTAGTTTGCACAATGGGTTGAGATACTTAAGTTAATCTCCTTACACAAGTACATTTGTGTACGTAAATGTTTATTTCATAAATAGATTGAGATATATACGATGCTTATCTCTCCGTTCAAGTATGTCTGCAATTCTAATTAACGATATTTGTTTATTTAAACTCCAACAAATTAATTTTAACTTTAAAGTGAACGACCTTAATTATCGCTCTTTAAATTTCGTTAAAAAATCTTTACTGATCAAATATTTCTACATTGATTATAAGATTTTTAAATCCTCTCCACTAGGCAAGAGGCACGTTAAACTTTATAATCTTTAGTATAAATTTACAGTTTGAAGAGAACCAATGTAGTGGTAAATGAACTGAAATATCTTGTACTCGGTTTTACAAATTAAGACAGCGAATGGTCATACAACTATAATATTGTAAACCGCAAATATATCGAGATGTCTTTCTACTTTTTTCAATTGATTTATAAGTAACACTTTTTCTTTAAATAATTTTTTATAAGCCGCTAAATTTTAATTCTCATTCGCATCTTATATCATCAATTAATCTCTTTTGCTATATTTTAACTAATGCAACTTCATCATAACAATTCATTAGTGTCTCACTGTTGGACTAAAGTTTCTCCTTATAAGAGAAATTATATAAGGGTTATTAAAGGTCTGGAACTTCTCACTCGGTCACAATTGTTTGTATTTCGAATAACATCTCTTTTAAAACATGAAACCTTATTTCAACCAATTTGTTATAAATTTCCTTTAGTACCGATGGCTGATTTCGAAAGTATAATTAAAAGAAGAATGTATAGCAAATGGATTTCTAAGTGGAGTGAAACTAAAGAAATTAAAGAAAAATGGTATGGTGATATTCAAAAATCAATTCCCATGAGACCACGGTACTTCAAGTTAAAAGATCCTTCCAGGAAATATATCACAACAATTCAAATGGGACATGGATTTTTTCCATCTCATTTACATAAAATGAAACTAAGCACTTCATCCAAATGTGATTTTTGCACCGCAGAAAATACAGACTTACAACATATAATTATAGAATGTCTGGCCTTTGCATTACAGAGACTTATATTGGTAGATGGCTTAATAAGTTTATATAAAAATAAAGAGATACCCCGCCTCCTGCCATCTATCCTTCAAAATAGTAATACATATCCAATTATCTATGAATTTATCCTTCACACTTTTAAAACACTATAATTACGTCAAAATAGATTTAATTATATATTTTTTTTCAAGACAAATATTCGCTGAAATGAAAGTATTAAAAATTAAAGATGGGCTAAAAGGATACACCCAAAGCCGTAAACACATCATAAAAAAAATGAAACCTTATTAATTATTTAGAAAAAAAAATATTGTTACACGAATCGTTGAGCATTATTTATACAAATAACAATTTTACAGCTTTTTTTATACCACGAATGTGTTAAATAAACACATGTTACAGCGCATCTGAAACGAGCACTGTCAGCCTTTGCTGTATGGTTCAAGTAAGCACTAGACATTAAATTTTTTTTTTAGTGTTTAAGCATAATTTAATAACAAAATATGGAGACATATTTACTTACACTAGATACTAGTAGAACTTGCTATTTCTGGCACTGGTATGGCATGTGTTAATAGTCACCTATTTCAACACCCTGGTGATGAAAATGGGTGGTGAAATATTGTACATTGTTTATACTTTTACAATGCGATATTTAATTAGTACTCACGTGAATATTTCGAAGAAAGCTTTCATTAAATGTGTTTCACCCATAATGATAGGTTCAGAAACATAATTGAATCGAATATGCATGGCGTCGGTCATTAAAAAAACTAAGTTAATGATAGCAGGTAGTCGTGATAAAAGATATTGTCGTAAAAGGAATATTATTTGGGTAAAAATTATATTATTTTTTAATACGATACTGAAACAACACATTAGATTAAATAATAAAGAATAAGAGAAATATAAGTTGAAAAAAAAAATTAAGACATTTATCTTAGATTTATAAGGAAAGACAGGTAACAAGAGTTAATGATTTTCGAAACATTTTTTTTTTCTGATATTATTTCAGCCGTCAACTGTCTATTACTTACAAAGCCGCCCCCCCCCCCCCTAATAGGGAATTTGACTTTTAGTTGCCACGCTTGGCAGGCGAATTGACAACCGCAGTTAGCTTTAGTAATGTTTTAAAGGGGACGCTGCTACCCATCCCTCGACCATATAGTTCCCTTAATTACCTCTTACGAGATTCACAGGAAAGGTAGGAATGATTTATTCTATGCTGAAACCACACTTTGACATATACAAGTAGCTAAATCTCTTTTATATATATATATATATATATACTCTTAGAAAAGCCTGATATATTATCAATAATATACCTATTACTCAATTTTTAAGGAGAAAACCTACGTAATGCTGAACGATTTGATTATTAAAGTCGAGTGAAAATTGGAATCTAATATTTCTGTATGCTATGTAATATATTTTGAAAAAAAGAAAGAAAATTTATTTAAATATAAATATTTATTTTTCGTTTATATTTTTAGATCAGAATGCCGCAAGAAAAGAGTCTGTTCGACGCACTATCAACAATATTCCACGACTTCTGTAAACAATGCACGCTCCATGGTTTTTATTACTTTTATAAAAGTAAAAAGTGTTCTGTCCATTTTATTTGGAGCCTAATAATAATGGGCAGTTTTGTACTGTGCTCTTTTTTGGGAAACATGATAATTCAAAAATATTTCATTGATCCCACTCTTATTGTGGTAAGTTGCTGTGTTATTAACTTATTTTTGTAATGTTTCCACCAACTTAGCCAGATTTAACCAGAGGGAGACTTTGTACAAAAATCGATTACTTGGATACGATTGCTCTGTCCCATTCGTGTTTCAATCGTGAAGCAGTTGTGTTTGCATGGCTGTGTTTCGGTTTGAAGGGTGGGATATGGCGTGAATTTTTTTTATACAACATAGAATGGCAAACAAGCTGACGGGCCACCTAATGGAAAGTGTTAACCGTCGCCTACAGACATGAGCAGTAGCATGGACATAACAGAGTATACTGTTTCGCTTATGATACCCCCCATGCGTTGCCATTCCTAAGGACTCAGATGTTATTCCTCTGTACCCAGTAAATTCACGCCATATCCCACCCTTCAAACCGAAACACAGCCATGCAAACACAACTGCTTCACGGTTGAAACACGAATTGGACAGAGGTACCCAAGCAATTGACTTTTGTACAAAGTCTCACTTTAAAATGTATTTGAATACAATATATTGTGGCAACGATCTTAAGACAATATTGGTAATATTTTAAATACACGATTGATATTTAACGTAATAAAGAAGCAGATACGTAAGTACTAGTTACCTGTAAAGTCTTTTACATCACGTTGAGTCCCGATTGTATATTTAAAATATATGTAAACAAAAGCGAATGCTAGCTTTATTACTCGATTTCCCAGCTTTCAGATTGCTAGTAACATTGACATGAAACACAGAGTAATGCTTATCAAAGAATCTTTGACTTTTGAGCTTCAAAGACTTGGCCTTCGTACTCCGATTGTAGATATCTTTTGTGGATTTAGGCAAAATTATCAAATGTAATACCAAATTGGATCCCGAATTAGCTCTGATTGATGTGTCCTCGTTTATTACAGCTAAGTGATTTATAACTCCTCGTCAATCGTCCTGGGTGTTAATTGTATAAGAAATTATAAGATTTACTGCACAAAAATCAACATTATCGAGAGAAAGGACTTATGTATTGACATTGGTTTAATTTACTTTCTCATATATTATTTATATAATGGGGTATCATGGGCGAAACAATATACTCTGTTATGTCCATGGTACTGCTCATGTCTATAGGCGACGGTTACCACTTTCCATCAGGTGGGCTGTCAGTTTGTTTGCCATTCTAAGTTGTATAAAAAAAATTTCATCTTGCTTTATTTCTCATTATTCTGATATTTTTATAATAGAAAGACATCTCTGACGTATAGTGTATTGTGGTTTCAATTGAACATTCCCTTGCAGGTGGAGTCGACTCACTATTCAATAGAAAAAATTCCTTTTCCTGCTGTGACATTATGTGATCCACAAGTTGTATATGGCCCTAACGTCAATAACGTAACAGAAATATTGTAAGTTATCAACAAAGACTGTTATCGTTGTTCCACGATATCTATTATAAACTTTAAGACGATAAAAAGACCCTCAAATTGTTCTTATTAATACTGATCAAATTTCCAAATTAGAGAGTGTATTTTGTATGGAAACTATGCTAATAACTTATACGTAGTTTCCTCTTTCCCTTTTTATACAACTTAGAACGGCAAACAAGCTAACGGCCCACCCGATGGAAAGTGGTAACGTCGCCTTTTGGAGGAAGAAATAAAGAATATCTATCTATCTATAAAACTTGTTTCAAAAAAGCAAATATTTTTTATTACAAATTATAATTTAGGACCTGAAATGTTATTTAAGTAGTAGTAACCGTCGGTTATAGACATGAGCAGTAAAATGGACATAACAGAGTATACTGTTTCAGACTTTGTACAAAAGTCGATTGCTTGGGTACCTCTGTCCCTCTGTCTGTGAATAACACCTGAGTCCTCAGGAATGGCAACGCACGTGGGGGGGGGAGAGGTATCATTGGCGAAACAGTATACTCTGTTATGTCCACGGTACTGCTCATGTCTATAGGCGACGGTTACCACTTTCCATCAGGTGGGCTGTCAGCTTGTTTGCATTCTGAATTGTATAAAAAAAAATTAGGGTTGCCAACTCACCTGCCAAGCGGGGCAACTACTGACAATCACTTATGAGGGAAACCTGTGTTTAGCTGTGGTCAATTAACAGCTGTTGTAAACGGATTGGGATTATTCTCGTTTTTAGAAGTCGTCGTGGTTTCAACTCGGAGCAGATTCGAACTTTTTACGATAGTTTCAATGCAATTGCAAGCTTTCAATACACACCTCCGATGCAAGTTAAGAAAATGCACTCACTGTTAGATGAGCTGGGATTACCTTACGACGAACTATTGTGGATGGTGAGTTTATTTATGTATATGTTTTTTTTTTTAATTGAGATTTGTTTGAGTCGAAGCATTTGGCGTTCCATTGTTTCTGCCTACCCTAATGGGAAACAGGCGTGACAGATATATATGTATGTATGTATGTTTTTTTTTTCAATCGGATACAAAAAGCTTTTTTTTGTACACCGCCATTTATATGCTGCCAGTTATAATTGGTTTTCACCATATCGACTTATGTCGGCTTATAAACATACCCCGTCCTGTAACCCACAGGAAAAAAAGTACATACGCCCCAGTTTTTTTTTATGTCCGTCTTCTACCTCGCCTTCTGTTTTGAGTATTTTTTTTATACCACTGAGGTGGCAAACAAGCATACGGCCCACCTGATGGTAAGTCGTTACCGTAGCCTATGAACATTTGCAATACCAGAGGCATTACGCGTGCGTTTCCGACCCTGAAGAAACCTCTTTACTCCCCTTTTGAAGAACCCCATGCTGTAGTCCCATATCTAATACAATACCAGTTATAATATAATAATATAATTATTTTCAGAATAGTGTAGTATTATTTTATATGTGATTTTACTTAACTATAATCTCATTTAAGTGAATTTGAGTGTTATTCCATGTATACTCGCTAATTATTTAATTTTGAGAAGTAAATGTCTTAAACCGTAAAAGGAGATTCTGAATTCGGTTGCATTTTTTTTTTTATTTTTATTACCTCATAACTCTGTCTGACTGATGTCTGATTTGGAAAAATATTTTTTTTTATCTGTAATGAAGTAAATATAAAAATTGGGTATTATTTATGAGGTGATGAGCTCAAATTACTCCCGTGCACAGATATCGTCTATTTACAATATATATATATATATATATATATATATATATATATATATATATATATATATATATATATATATATATATATATATATATATATATATATATTACTACCATCCCTTTCTGTGTCGTAAGAGGTGACTAATAAAGCTCAATGGTCGAGGAATGGGCAGTAGCGTTCTGGCAAAGCCTTACTGCGGTTGCCAACCTGCCTGCCAACAATTCTTGACAAAAACCTCCTTACGTGAGAGGCTTATGTCCAGCAGTGGACAATTAACTGCTCATATATTAATAAAATAGACATATATCCATGTTGCAGTTCCATAAACCCTGCCATGTATTACTTAAAGAATGCCGATGGCGGTCAAAAGTGTACGATTGTACACAAATGTTCAGAGAAGTGCGTACTTACCATGGATATTGTTGTCAATTCGATATAAACTACTTCAAGTAAGTTGTTAACATAAATATTATAGATCGAATCTATTTTTATAGATCCGTAATCTATATCTATCTATATAGGATATATGATGATTTCGTCATGCTGCTTATTACGATCTTAAGCTTTATCCAGCTTACTGCATACGTCCTTTGCAACATTTAACTTCTCAAATTTAATGGTAGATTAACGAATGTCATACAATTATTGTCATATATTATTCAAATTTGTCAATTTTCTTGAAGTTATACAGTGCTTATAAATAAAAACTGTTTTCATAAATGTCTGAGAAATCTTTCTTTCAGAGAGAACGCACAAAATGGAACTGAATTTGTATCAGGTATAAAAATGAGCGAGGCATTGGATATCATTGTAAACGAAGAGAATATCACACCTGATGGTGTGGTAACTGATGGATCTATTATGGTAAGTCCGCATTATGAAATGTCAATAATATTATATAACACTGGATAAAGTATATTAGAGATGGGCATAGGTTATATATATATAATAAACTTTATTAACAAATACAGGGTTACACAGTTACATGTTTTTTGCCCTAGCTTACAAATTAGGGTAACCTGTGCCTTGTAAGCCAGTTCCTTCCAACAAACAAGAACTAATACTTTGTATTTGTAGATGCAGAACTAACAATATTGAGCTACAAACATAATAAACATGATGAAAAATAAGGAATAAAAAAGAAATTATTAATATTATGTTTATATATATATAATAAAAAGCCCTATAATAAAATTCACTGACACCTATTTATTACCATTACTTGTGAATTAAACCTCATTTCAATTCTGCAACTGAAAATTAAGACTTCAAGCAAATTTATAACTAAGCTACGTACCACTTGCAATACAAATAAAATTTAATTTAGTTTTCATTACTAATTCATATTTCAGCTTTTCATATTCGATGCAAAAGACAACGTATCGTTATTGGACAGCTCTATAATAATATCTCAGGGAGGTTACTTCGATGTAAACTTTGGCGTTTGGGCGATAGACGCGTCAGATTCTGTTAAAGAGTTAAATATCAGAAGCAGGAATTGTGTACTTGAGACTGTGAGTTTAAGTTAACGTTACTTGTTACGTTAAGGAATTATATAAATATTTTTTTACTAATATTTTTTTAAACTGGTGACCGTCGCCTATAGACATGAGCAGTACCATGGACATAACAGAGTATACTGTTTCGCCCATGATACCTCCCCATGCGTTGCCATTCCTAAGGACTCGGATGTTATTCCTCTGTACACAGTAAATTCACGCCATATCCCACCCATCAAACCGAAACACAGTCATGCAAACACAACTGCTTCACGGTTGAAACACGAATGGGACAGAGGTACCCAAGCAATCGACTTTTGTACAAAGTCTCCCTCTGGAGTATATGCTTAAATCTTTTTTTTTTTTATAATACTTAGAATGGCATACGAGCTGACGGCCCACCCTAGCGATGTGCGAATCCGAATGATTTTGTTATTCGAATACTTAATAATTCGAATAATTATAAAATTAGTAATTTCAATAAGTAATTACTAATTTTATAATTCGACTACTAAATTAGTAATATTCGTATTCGAATGTTTGTACTAATTAGTAACTAATTAGTTAATTAGTAATAAGTAAATTAGTTCAACAAAGTCCTTTTTCCGAATGCGCTTACTACTAAGTTCATTTCACAATTTGTATCCATTACTGCTCCGTTGCCATCTTAGTAAAAGTTGACGACAAAAAAAATACTAAAATATCAATTTTCCGACACGTAGATAGATAGATAGATAGATAGATAGATAGATACTCTTTATTGTTTCCTCCAAAAGATTACAACAGTAAACTTATTATAAATACAAACAATCACAAGAAATAATCACAATGAGAAAACAATGGGCGACCTTATCGCTAAGAGCGATCTCTTCCAGGCAACCTTTGGATGGAGAGGAGTAATTATAAACAATTTGGTAGGAGGCACGATAAAAAAAAATTGTTAGTTCTAGATATGGGAGATGTAATACATATAATAATATAAAAATTATCCCTACTTATTATTATATATACATATATATACATATATACATACATATACACATACACATACACATACATACACACATATACATACATGCATATAAACGTTCACGAAAAATATGCAAGAAATAAGTATGCTAAGCAGACATATAAACATATTAAGGAGATGACAACTTGCATTATAATACTTTTGCCATTTCCTATAAAAACTATACTTACTTTTATCGACAATTGGACATTTTTACTACATACATTTTAATTGGCAACACGTTTATCTGTTAGAAAATCAACGATCGGGTCTAAGTCTCCCTCTTTTTTTTTTTTACAACACAGGGTGCAAACGAGCATCCGGCTCACCTGATGGTAAGTGACTACCGCCACCCATGGTCACCCACAACACCAGCGGCATTGCAGGTGTGTTGCCGGCCTTTTAAAAAGGAATATACTCTTTTCTTGAAGGTTATGTTGTCGTATCGGTTCGGAAATACTGCTGCTGGAAGTTGATTCCAAAGAATGATTAATCTTAAGATTAATTAATCTTATAGTCTTTTAAAAAGTGAGTTTATTTAGTTCGATTCTTTGACGCCGTTAGGCTTAAATAATCACTATGAAATTTGGTATACACGTACAAATAGGATGGAAAAGAGATATTTTTTATCCTGGCGGGTAAATACATTCCGGTCACGCGGACGAAGTCACGGGCAAAAGCTAGTATAGGTTTTTTTAATGGGTGATAATGGAATAGTAACCCCGCCTGCTCTATCGGTATGCTGGCGGGGCACCAGTGAGGGATTACAAGTAAGGACGAAAAGGCAGGTCAGTTAGCCCATCGTGACGTATTCCACGAGAATTAACCACAACGGTTTCCATTACCGCGTGGAGGCCGACCTGTGAAATTGATTACTAACAATCCCTTTCTCCCTGATAGATGTTTATGCTCAAATCTCACTTTATACATTTGTTTTTATTAAAATCATTGTATTTTATATTTCTAGGACGACATACACGGACCTGGGTATTATTTCGGATGCATTTCCGCCATAATAGTGAAAAAATTGGTTGAAACCTGCAAGTGTATTCCGTCCAGTTACAATGGTAAGTTATAATATTATAAAAAATATAGAAGTAAGAAGTGTTTAATTTAGAAAATTTATTGCACTGTACCTATGTTTTATGCCATTCTACAATGGCAAGCAAATTGATTACCCACCTGACGGAAAGTGGTAATTATGGTATATAAAATGTTACGAACTGTACCATCGATATCATAGAACTTGACAATTATTAGTCGGATATATCATTTCTACCTATGAAGCTACATTGTCCCCATAAAAAACATTTGAATTCTCTGTTGGAAGCGTTCACAAGCAATGAATTATAAATAAGAGGTATTTTTTTTTATGGGTGATAATGAAATAGTAACCCCACCCGTGCTATCGGTATACACCGGCGGGGCACCAGTGAAGGATGATAGGTGAGGATGAAGCAGGTCAGTTAGCCCATCGTGACGAATTCAACAAGAATTGTTCACGATGGTTTCCAGGGGGAACCACGTGGAGGTTGACCTGATAGGGCATCTTGCTAGCAATGGGGCTGTCAAACTCCATTGGTAACAATCCCTTTTCCTCCCCAATAAGAGGTAATGTACGGACATGGGAGGTATGTGTAGACATACCTCTTTACAATTATAGTAGCTTTTATTTTAAAACTTGCATCATTAAAAAAAAATTTAAAAAAATTATCAACCGTGCTTCAATAATTAAAGATTGTATCCTCAATAAAAAAAACTCACTAGAATTGTAACAATTTTGATCTAAAAACTAAATGACTGAGCCGATTTTGATAAAAAATACTATAAGACCAATGTGTAAGTATATCCTTTTAGATAAAAAAAAAACTAAATCGATTTACAATTGACGGAGTTGTGACGTAACGTATAACAAATATAAAAAAAAAAATTGCATTTAGCACGAGACGATACGGAACTTTCAACCGACTTCAAAAAAAGAGGTTCTCTGTATGATTGTGTGAATTTTGCAAACAGATTAACAATTGACGGAGTTATGGAATAACAAACATGAAAAAAAATACAACCGAATTGAGCACCTCTTTTTTTAAGTCGGTTAAAAATTATTCGTTTGAAGGTTGTCGACATTAATGTCTTTGCCCACTGAACAAGTTTCAAGTAACTTGTCAATCTATTGAAATTAAATAATACACAAAACTTTACGTACACTGTAAGACTCGAATTTTGTGTTACCGAGTCCATTCAATTTCCTGAAAACAATTTCCAAGGGGCTTTTCCGTTATTGATGAAAATAATATTGTGTTTCATTAATACCGATTACTGAGTAATTGAAATGAATACAGAAAATAAATTAAAATCCGTATCAATTATTTTTGTTGTCATACTTTCCTTCAGCGTGAAATTAATTAACAAAAGAAAAATGTAATTTTTCTTATAAGAACAACAATGTTTTCCTATAAAAATGATGTTTTAATACCTAGTATAAGCGTTCCACTAAAAACATCATCGAAGCCTAACAGCGATTGCCAAACCACTTGCTAAACATGGCAACTGCTGACAAATAAAGGGAAGCCTATATTCAGCTATGGACAGTAAAAGGCTTATAGGGTATGGTTGTAGTAAGTGTTAAATTAAGTTATTTACCAGAGGGAGACTTTGTACAAAAGTCGATTGTTTGGGTACCTTTGTCCCATTCATGTTTCAACCGTAAATCCTCGCTTTCTCTCTTAATAAAAAAACTAGATCGAATGCACGTATCTTATAACTATTATATCAAAATTAAGTAATTAAAAATTAGTTTTTTTATACAACTTAGAATGGCAAACAAGCTGACGGCCCACCCAATGGAAAGTGGTAACCGTCGCCTATAGACATGAGTAGTATCATGGACATAACAGAGTATACTGTTTCGCCCATGATACTTCTCATACGTTGCTATTCCTGAGGACTCAGGTGTTATTCCTCTGTACCGTGTAAATTCACTGCCATATCCCACCCTTTAAACCGAAACACAGCCATGCAAACACAACTGCTTCACGGTAGAAACGAGAATGAGACAGAGGTATCCAAGCAAACGACTTTTGTACAAAGTCTTTCTGGTAAATTTGTGTATTTATAAAATCGTTTTGTGATCGGATTGGTAACAGAAATACTGAAAATACTATTTTATTTCAAAGACAAAAGAACTAATTAAAACTGACAGAGTTAGACGGAACAAGTAAAGTCTAAAAACAATAAATTGGAAAAGTTTCAAGAAGCAATAGACAGGGGTTTTTTTTTCCGGTAATTGGAGGCTGGTAATTCATAATAAGGTTAGTTTTTGTCAGAATAAAGTCCAATTTTGGATAAACCCACTCTAACTTGCCTACCTCGCTTTGGAATCAAAATTTTTGTTTGTATAAGTAAAATCCGTTATTGGCTGTATTCATAAGAGACTTAGCATGCAAGTTATTTTTTAAGAGCTGCGGATTTTTGTATAAAATAAAATAAAAAAAAAAAAAATACGTATAATACAATCGTAATTGGTCGTTGTCTGTACATATGTACCAGAGGAAGACTTTGTACAAAAGTCGATTGCTTGGGTACCTCTGTCCCATTCGTGTTTCTACCGTGAAGCAACTGTGTTTCGGTTTGAAGGGTGGGATATGGCGTGAATTTACTGGGTACAGAGGAATAACACCTGAGTCCTCAGCAATGGCAACGCATGGGGGGTATCATGGGCGAAACAGTATACTCTGTTATGTCCATAGTACTGCTCATGTCTATAGGCGACGGTTATCACTTTCCATCAGGTGGGCCGTCAGCTTGTTTGTCATTCTAATTTGTAAAAAAAAGAAAAAAAAAAACGCGGATAAGATATATAAGAAAAACTATCACAGGGAGGCTTTATGAATGCAATAGAACGCAAAACAATGATTTTAAGAATTTTTGTCTGTTCATCTCTTTGTCTGTATGTTTATGCACGCTAATCTCAGAAACGACTTAATATATTTGAATGCGGTATTCACTAATGCGTTACAGTTTGCTCCACTTAACATGTAGTGTTTGTTTTATTTCAATCGGTTCATACATGAAAAAGTTATGTCAATCTAAAGAATCACATATAAAATGTTATAAAATAACCGATCAGTTGAATTTACTGAAACTTTATGAAGGTATTAGATACGTATTTATCATTTAAGTATACATGTATACACATACAATATAAGACCGGATACATGAAGAGTTCCAATGGGAATAATATACGAGAATTACATAGTTAGAAGCGAACAACGCCGCGGGTAACGGCTAGTAAAAAAAAGTTTAATATTTATCTAGGAATTACAATTAAAAAAAAAAAGTTTGTACTATTCGTAGACACATTTAGAAAAAAATATATAGATTAGACAGGTAGAGTCTTCACTGTTATTGTGTTCGCATTTGTATACCAACAATAAAAAAAATGCATTCCGTATTTATATTCCTAAACGTCATCTCAGCAATTTTAGTAACAGTTTTATCTGTGGTTTTGTATAAGCCATAATTTCATTAACTAACTGTTCTGCCCACTACCTCAAAAGTAGAAAAAACAATTAGGTACGCCACTTCTAGGCTGGGTCTTAAGTATACAACATATTTTAAGTTAGACTTTCAGAAATAATAGATTGTGAAAACCGCATCAAATTTAATTTACAGTAGTTTGTTTTTATGACGCGAAATAACATACAGACAGATAAACAGACAGACAAAATTTCTAAGAATTATTGTTTTGGCATTAGTCTTATTTCAACGACATTATATCATAAATTAATTTTTCACTGCTGATATGTTCAAAAGATGCAGACTTCCCCCTTAAAGAGGTGGTTTTCCTGTAGTTGCTAGGTTCGGCAAGCAGTTTGGTGACCACATTGGCCTTTGGGGAATTTTTAAAAGTGACGCTGCTACCTATCTCTCCGCCATTAACTTACCTTAGATGTCTCTTACGATATCCACTTTAAAGGATTTTTTTTTTATATAAAGACTTTTTATAAAAAGCTATTTAAAGACCGAGGAAGAACTACATGGGACAGATAAAGGAAACACTAGGTGTCATATCGTATAGGGAGGTCAAAGATATGGCCTAGCATAGAGGTGGCTGGAAGAGAATGCATGAATCGGTTACACCGACAAGAGGATGCTCTTAAATATAAAGGGATCATACTTATAAAAATATATGTTTTTTTTTATACAACTTAGAATGACAAACAAGCTGACGGCCCACCTGATGGAAAGTGGTAACCGTCGCCTATAGACATGAGCAGTATCGTGGACATAACAGAGTATATGTTTCGCCCATGATACTGCCCCTTGCGTTGCCATTCCTGAGGACTCAGGTGTTATTCCTCTGTACCCAGTAAATTCACGCCATATCCCACCCTTCAAACCGAAGCACAGCCATGCAAACACAACTGATTCACGGTTGAAACACGAATGGGACAGAGGTACCCAAGCAATCGAATTTTGTAATTAATTAATGACTATGTATAATTTATATTAAAATTCATATTGTTACAGAGCAACTACTAAAATTGAAAGAAACATATCCACGGTGTTTGTGGGAACAACTCTCCTGCATTTATCTTACATTTGGTTAGTACTTCGAAGTAAACAATTTAAAATTTCCAAATAACTTTTTAGTATTTTTAAGAAGACTAAAGTACTAAATATACTGTGACCTTAATTTCAAATATAATCCATTATATTCTATTTGCAATTAATTTTAATTTGAACACCTATATTCTAGTTTTATTAAGTGGTGATCCAGCATGTCAAATGCTGAGTTTAAATCCAGAAATAGTCCAATTTATTTTTGTTATAATTTAATTTTATTATGACGTCATTGATTAGTTTATATATTGCATCGGATGTTGCAACATGTCTCTTATATACAAGCTGTCTGTCATGCAAAATTTGATACTTATCTTAATGTTTTTAGAGCCTATTTTTATTTAGTTTTTCTAATATTTTTACTAATACTCGTATGGGACTATAATTATTAGGATCGGTTTTTGAACCTTTTTTTAAAATATTGGTATTATTTTTGCTATTTTTAATTATTCAGGAATATTACCTTTTCAGTATTTTACTATAGTATTTTGTTACTTTGTCTTTTTTTTTATAATAAATTGAAAAATTTAATTTGTTTATCTTAAACATACGTATGGAACTGTTTCGAGAAAAACTAGGACCGTTCTATTTGCTCAATTTCATGTTTTAATATTACTTATCCTGGGAGGGACATTTAAATATCCGCTCGTTAGAAGACTTTCTTATGACCTCTTAGGAAAAATTACTTAATTTCTTATACTTAATTAACTAACTATAACTTGAATGTCATAAGATGTGCCCTACTTTTCTTCTATTTATATCTATTCTTTTATGTCGGAAGGCACGTCTATTTCTCTTTAACTCGTATATGTTATTTAACTTCGAGATTCTTTCCTATTATCGTGGACTATTCATCTGAAAAATAAGGTGGAACTCTTGTATTAACGGTACCCTGAAGACGAATGAAGTGTGGGGAATCCTTTCATTAAGTTTTTCTTTAATAACAAATATTTCCTGAACGAGCACAATTTAAATGCTTCATTTCGCGTGTTCTTTAAATGTGATTAAATAAATTTTGCTTTTAAATCAAGCGAAGATATTTATAATGTTACTTGTATTACGGATGAAATAAATCATAATCAGATGATTGGCAATGTAACTGGGAGGAAATATAAATTTCTGGCACATATTATATTTTTTTTTAATGTAGTCTAAATTCAGAGGGTGTTTTAGATAGATATATAATTTATTTGCATTATTTACAGCATACAAATAAGAACAGATATATTTACATATGTAAAAAAAGAAAGAAAAGAATACATATAGAAAAGAGAAACACAAGGAGAATATATGAAAGAAGTAATATAATTTTTCGTTGCGTGTGTGTGCTAGAGTAACACAAAGTGGTCACAACTTTGTTGCTTTGTCCTCAAAAGAGCAAAGTACTGATATTTTGTTGTGGCCAAAAGACAGCCGAGAAATTCCTTGTCAAAATAAAAATATAAATAAATGAATAAATTTAGTTGTGTGGGCACATACAAATAATTTTATTTATTTATTTTTATTTATTTACATTTACAATCATTATTATTTAATATTTTAATCTAAATTAATAAATAACAAATACCATTAGAAGAGAGGTAATTGGAGGTCACTCTCGATGACATTAATATATTTTTTTTATTGTGTTACACCTTGATTAGAAACTAAACTATTAAATAGATTTTGATAAAATTTCCTAAAAACTAATCTGAAAAAATAAGCTTTCAGACAAAAAAATATTTTTCCAAAACGCTTTATGAATGACGGAGTTATGAGGTACCAAATATTAAAAAAAAATACAATCAAATTTAGAATATCTTTTTTTCAGCCTATTGAAAAGGACTTATTTAAAAAAAAAGAGAGAGATAAAACTATTCCTATTTTAAATTCGAAAGAGACTTTGTACAAAAGTCGATTGCTTGGGTACCTCTGTTCCATTCGTGTTTCAACCGTGAAGCAATTGTGTTTGCATGGCTGTGTTTCGGTTTGAAGGGTGGGATATGGCAGTGAATTTACAAGGTACAGAGGAATAACACCTGAGTCCTCAAGAATGGCAACGCATGGGGGGTATCATGGGCGAAACAGTATACTCTGTTATGCCCATTGTACTGCTCATATCATTAGGCGACGGTTACCACTTTCCATCAGGTGGGCCGTCAGCTTGTTTGGCATTCTAAGTTGTATAAAAAAAAGACTTGATTTTTTGTTCATAAATATATTTCAGTATCTTTAATAGAAATACGTCTCAGATACTAGAGGTTTTCAATTTAATAAAAAGCGAGCAAACGCCGGTTCGTCCCGAGGCGATAATTTTGCTTCTCAGTGCGATTTCTATCAGTAATGACTCCATTTGGCCAGTGTCAGCTGCCTTAAATGATAACGAACATTCGTCATTTTCATACTTCAGATTACTTCTAATATACCATTTTTTTTTTTTGTTAAAGTATCAATTATTTTATTTTTGAACTATATAGAAATTTTAGATATTTTTTTAATGCATTGTAGGAGGTTAATGAATGCAGGTGGCTCAGGATCGTTCTTTATAGCATGAGGGAAGTCTGTGTCCAGCAGTGGACAGATAATGTTTTTTTTTATACAACTTAGAATGGCAAACAAGCTGACTGCCCACCTGATGGAAAGTGGTAACTGTCGCCTATAGACATGAGCAGTACCATGGACATAACAGAGTATACTGTTTCGCCCATGATACCCCCCATGCGTTGCCATTCCTGAGGACTCAGGTGTTATTCCTCTGTACCCAGTAAATTCACGCCATGGCTGATAAGATTATGTCGTTGATCTTTTTTTTTATACCACACAGGTGGAAAACAAGCATACAGTCCGTTTGATGGTAAACGATCGCTATAGCCTATGGTCCCTTATTTATAATTCTATTCAAATATATATATATATATATATATATATATATATATATATATATATATATATATATATATATATATATATATATATATATATATATATATATATATATATATATATAATTTTATTTTTGATATTACAGAAAAAGTTACACAAAATATTAAGACTATCTTCACAGAAAGTGAGTGCTACCAGAGATGTAACTACGTGCAGTACGATTCTGACGTGAAGTATTTGAGGCAGCAAAGGAATTTTAAGTAATATATTTTGCAATATCTTTTCATATATTTTTTTTTTATACCACAAAGGTTGTAGACAAGCCTACAGCCCGTCTGGTCGTAAATGGTCACTGTAGAGTATACATGTAAAACTAGAAGTCTTATTGTGTATATATATATATATATATATATATATATATATATATATATATATATATATATATATATATATATATATATATATATTTTATTTATCTATACCTGTTAGTAACTATTTAGCTACTAATAATTTATTATTTATCGTATTAATTTTGCACCATATATTTCATGCTTTATATACAAACCCTATAGATACTTTCTCCTTTCGAGATCACAAGGTTGACTGGAAGAAATCCCTTTAAGAGATAAATCCGCCTGTGTACATTTTTGCTATAACCTAGTATCTATACTGTAAGTGAATTTACAAAAGCCTATAAATAATTTAAAATCGTAAATATATGAAATTTGTACAAAAGAGTGTATTTAATAAGAAAAAATATGAGAATGATGAATGATGTCTGGAACAAATAGACAAAATTTCCAAAAGTGTTTTTTTTTTTTGCTTTTAAAACCTATTGGGACCTTTTAAATCTCATTGAGATCCTCGTATTATTTTTTCTAAAATATCTCCCATGTACATTGGTTATTTACAATTTTATTACATTAATGAGATTATCTACTTCCATACAATTTATATATTTTTAATCTTTTTTTACTTATTTCTAATTCAAATGTATTATTCAGAACATCAATAAAGAACTGATTTTTTTTTAATCCGTTTTTTATGTATTTACAGCGATTTAAATGGCAACTACAGTAGAATTTCAGTTCACTTCGCTAGCCACACTTGTATGAAGTATAGACGAGAATTGCTGTACACTTGGGATCAAATGCTTGGTAACCTACTTAAAATATTTACATTAAATTAATTTTAACTACCTTCATGGTACAGTGGTAATTATGTTATGCTACATAGATAAGGTATTTTTTATTTATTTATTTATTTTTTTTATACAACTTAGAATGCAAACAAGCTGACGGCCCACCTGATAGAAAGTGGTAACCGTCGCCTATAGACATGAGCAGTACCATGGACATAACAGTACACACACATACTGTTTCATGCGTTGCCATTCCTGAGGACTCGGGTGTTATTCCTCTGTACCCTGTAAATTCACGCCATATCCCACCCTTCAAACCGAAACACAGCCATGCAAACACAACTACTTCACGGTTGAAACACGAATGGGACAGAACGTACCCAAGCAATCGACTTTTGTACAAAGTCTCCCTCAGGCAAAGTGTATTAAGTTCTGGATTGAGGAACCATATAGCTTCCTCACTGTTCAAAATTTTTTTTTTCTTTTACGTGATTTTAAGTGGCAAACAAATTGAGGGCCTGAGTGAAAAGTGATAAATGTGACCTATAGATATGAATTATGGTCATCACAGAACACGATGTGACGCTCAAGGTATCGCAATTTTTTTAATGGATGATGATGGAATGGTGACCCCGTGGTAATGTCTGGAAACAAGCCATATAGTATATTTGCATAAAGAAAAAGAATAAATTGTTTTTTTTATATCATTCTTGTATCTCTTGATGTAATGTTGAATAACTATAATTTTAATATGTAAATAAATGTAAATGTAAATAAAAAGCATATATATATATATATATATATATATATATATATATATATATATATATATATTCCCGTGTGCTCCCGGCATACCACCAACCAACCACCACCAATAGGCCACCCCTTCCTTTCCCATGGGTGTCGTAAGAGCCGACTAAGGAAGGAAGAGGGTTGGGCAACAACATCTCTTTTAAAAGATCTCTAAAGCCTAACTGCGGTTGCCACTCCGCCTGCTAAGCGTGGCAACTACTAACAAAACCCCCCAAGAGGGAGGCTTATGTTCAGCAGTGGCCAGTTAAAGGCCGATATGATGATGATACATATGTGTGTGTGTGTGCTGTGTTTGCCATTCATATATGGTATGATAAAGAAATAAATGTCTACCTATTTATCACGAAACAATAAAATAATTTTGTTTACTTGCAGCAAATCTTGGTGGTATATTTGGACTTTGCCTCGGTGGATCCATAATAAGTATTATCGAAATGGTTTGGTTTCTATTTGACATTTTATATGCTACCGTTACTTATAGAAAAAATGTGACAAAAGTTAATGATTTTCAAAAGAATATTGAAAAACCTCCGAACGTATTATCGCTGTATCGGAATCGTAAAGTTTGGGAAAGAAATAGATTTATTCATTAATAAATTGTGGTTATTAATTATGCAGGTGAAGTTAGTTATTAGCATTCTTTAATAGAGGTATTCAACGAAAGTAATAAAAATTTTACATCAAAGAAACATGGGTCAAAAAAGGCAATAAATTTTAAACAGATTCCAACTTGGTCCATTTTTATTTTTATAAGTTTCGTAAGCACATATTATAGTCAGACTTGCGCTCGCATCACAGCCGCTCATGACTAAGGATCACGAGTTGATTCAGAAACTAGTCGAGCTTTCTTGTTCTTATTATACGTAAGTCAAACCGGTAGTTATTGCATTAAAATGTTGAAAGCATTCTGTTGTTGATTTAATACGAGATATTCAAAATAGTAGTATATGTTTTTGTAGTTTATGAATTTTTAATTCACTCAATTTCCATCCTAATATGTGTAGATTGTCTATTTTACGTACTGTCAACGGTTTTGAATAACGATGAATTTGAGTCGTAAACACCGTATTCGCGTTAAAGAAAATTTCTGGCTTGAGAAAAACAATTGTTTCTCTTTAGTTAATATAATAGACATACAATTAAATAATACTATATATATATAAAACACAATTTAGTAGTATAATCTTCGCTGCACTCGTAAAACTGCACTCACTGGCTTGCTGCTTTTAGGATAAATTTCAATTTTGTAAGTGTTTTTAATAATTTTTAAACATGTTAATTTATTAAAAGAGATATAATATTTTTTCAATGTATATATATATATATATATATATATATATATATATATATATATATATACGTATTTGTGTCTTGTACTCATAGTACAAGCTTTTACTTTTTAGATAGCACTGTGTTATATTAAAGAGTTACTATTAAAATATATATTTTATTTATCAATATCCAATTTATCTGCATGTCCTACCGTTTGTACAACAGATTATGCTCAGGAATTGTTCAATATGATGCCCCTGGCCATTTTCTACCATCGTACAGCTCGCCATCGTTAGAAACCTCCATACCCAAGAACCTAGATGGCTGCGTACAACGCGGTTTCACAGATGTTTTCTTCCAAGAACGCTCACATTGTGGAATAAGCTCCCTGTTGAGATTTTTCCAAGCAGTTGTGTTTGCATGGCTGTGTTTCGGTTTGAAGGGCAGGATATGGCGTGAATTTACAGGGTACAGAAGAATAACACCTGAGTCCTCAGGAAAGGCAACGCATGGGTGGTATCATGGGCAAAACTGTATACTCTGTTATGTCCATGGTACTGCTCATGTCTATAGGCGACAGTTACCACTTTCCATCAGGTGGGCCGTCAGCTTGTTTGCCATTCTAAGTTGTATAAAAAAAAAGACTACAGCATGGGGTTCTTAAAAAAGGGGATACCCCAAGTATTGTAGGCGTTCATAGACAAAGGTAACCGATTACTATCGGCTGAGTCGTATACTTGTTTACCACCTCAGTGGCATATGGATAGGCAACCACAGTTCGACTTTGGTGATGTTTTAAGTGGGACATTGCTGCCTATCCCTCGACCCCTTAGTTGTTCTTATGAGACCCATGGAAAAGGAAGGAGTGGTCCATTCTATGCCGGAATCATTTGGCAGGATAACCCTGCCTATAAATTGAAGAATCCATATTTTTTCTTAAATAAAAAAAAAATAACGTATCGTAAACATAATTTTTTTTTTTTAGATAAACACATAAAAATCATGTATCATATTCGTGCCAATCAACGTGAACACACAGTCATTGGGTTTCGTTTGGATTAAACAAATATATACTATATCGTTTGCCGAGGCTCGTGTTGACACGTCTTTAATCAGGTCGTACGTGATTGGTCGTCAAGAAAATATACGAGTGAAGTACTTATTGGGATTTAGCTCTTGATTTATACAGTCACTAGCTGAAACTCGCGACTTTTGCCGCATTATTTTTTTACAGACTGAATGGTATCTGTTTATTCTAATGGTATTATAGTTGGCTTATTGGACACCAATGAGAAAGAAGATCAGTTGGTTAATTTTCCTTAAGATGTCTTCTATAGAGATGAAACATGTGTCGCAATATGTGCGAGGACTGAATAACGGCCGGAGATTGATGACTAATCTTTGATCTAAATTAGTCATCTATATTAAACTAAACTACTTAACAGATTTTGATAAAAAAATTATGGGACCAATATATAAATATATCCTTTCAAATAAAAAAAGAACTTTCCAAATCAGATTAGAACTGACGATGTTATTAAGTAATAACTAAAAAAAAATAAACATACTGATTTTATTTATTTATTTAACTCTTTATTGCACCATAAACAAAAATATACAATGACAAGTGAATAATTTAAGTAAAATGCAGTAACATAAATACAGATTCAAATATACACATAAAAGTATAGAAGGCGGTCTTATCGCTAGGGCAATCTCTTACAGACAACCTTTGATTAAAGGAGAACAGATAGAATATACTGTGACGCCCGTATTAACACCTCTTCCTTTTAAAACTGTTAACAAATATGAATAATGGTAACAGGACAAACTTTGATCAGTACATTCTGCACCAATAATATTTAACCTTTGCACATAAATAAATTTATCATATTGCCATCTTAGATTATTAAAAAGATTGATCTCAAGTCAAAAATATGGGTAGCTTAGACGATATGGATTTAATTTTTACAGTAGGCAATATTTAGTAAACATTCCATCCCTCACAAGGGCACTCCGTGGGAAAATACGTAAATAGATCTGTACCGCTTCCCATAACATTATTTAACATGAGAAGTACTCTGATGTTAGAGTAAATTTGTTCTTGCCTTAGGTAATACAAATAATACGTTGTACCTAACATATAAATTACATATCTATTTGTAATATAACATTAAAAATTAATAACTACAGAATATAGTTGTGTTTGTATGGCTGTGTTTCGGTTTGAAGGCTGAGATGTGGCAGTGAATTTACAGGGTACAGAAGAATAACACCTAAGTCTTTATGAATGGAAACGCGTGGGGAGTATCATGGGTGATTATGTCCATGGTACTGTCCATATCTATATGCAACGGTTACCACTTTCTATTAGGTGGGCTGTCAGCTTCTTTGCCGTTCTAAGTGGCATACAAAAAAAAGTAATAGGTAGTAAAGCCTTAATTATTTGTAATGATAAATAAATAAATAAATAACTCACATTTATGTTCTAAATCTCTAGACTAAATTTTAAAACATAAAAAGGTCTTTAAATAATTCCAACAAAAGATAGGCAAACTAAAACGTTCAAAGTGTTACATCAATATTTGCGAACGGTTAGACGTTGTCGACCGTTTCATGCAAATTAACAGTTGACATTCTACTGAATAATTAGTGCATAATTATAATTTGTCGAATTAAAAGCTTTGACATTCAGTGACCTAGCCTCTGTAGCTGTATTGAATTTAGTAATTAAGTTTTAAAAATATTAATACTTGTATTAACATCGATAAAGCACGAAGCGAATGTTATTTTAAAAGATGATTTTAAAATATGGCTAAAAATTCTAATATGCCACATACATATAAAATATACTATAGCTGAAAATAGCTGGTATTTTAATGGTACTAAAATATGGTAAATATGTACTATAAAATACTAGCTATTTTCAGCGGTTTTGTCAGTAGTTGCTATTCATTTTTTCCCAGTCAACCATTACGTTAAACAGAGAGAGAGAAAAAAGTGGTGCATTATTGGTCTAACAAAATATATCTATCTTATTATATGGGACACTCACAGCATCAGCTGAGCCGGTTCCTTTTGCCTATTATGGGACACTTTATGTAGATATGTTATGTATATTTTATATTGTAAATGTGTGTTTAGTGGCAATAAATGTTTTCTATTCTATTCTATTTAAGAGCTACGCTCATGTCGGTGGAGCTCTTGCCACTCACTACGATTTTCAGCGAGTCTCTTCACCTCTTGATACGACACGACTCCAACTCCTTCCTTGATCTGCCTGATGTAACTATGCCTTGGTCTCCCTCTTCCCCTCCTTCCTTCTATCTTACCTTTGATTATAATGTTCATAAGTTCGTCGTGTCGTATCAAGTGTCCCAAAAAATTTTCCAATGAAAAAAAAAAGGAAATGTTAGAATGAAATCAATAAGTAAATGTTTTTTTTTTATAAATACATTACTTTTTTAATCTATCAAATATAAGACACCTGTGTAGCCACATCTACTAGGACAGGGCACAGGGTGAAGAAACTTATTTTTAACTTAAATGAATGTTGGTTCAGGAACCTGAACTGATTTCGTATTCAAGGCCAATAAGTGATTGATTGCGCAAACCATTTGCTTTTACAACTAAATGACAGGCTATTGAACCCAAGAGGTACGGCGTTTATAAAATGTTTATTATGTTTGCATTATAATAAGTTATTGATAAGTTAATAAGTTATTTGTATCCTCTATGAATTACTAGGCTGGAGTGCAAAGGGTTATTTTCTTCTAGTGTTATATTTTGTATAGTTATATTCCGCCATGGAAATGATACCTAACTCTGTACTAATATTACCAAGGCGAATAATTTGATTATTTGTTTGTCACGGATAAACTCCACAGTTTTACAAGACTCACCAGAGGGTGACTTTGTACAAAAGTCGATTGCTTGGGTACCTTTGTCCCATTCGTGTTTTAACCGTGAAGCAGTTGTGTTTGCATGGCTGTGTTTCGGTTTGAAGGGTGGGATATGGCGTGAATTTACTGGGTACAGAGGAATAACACCTGAGTCCTCAGGAATGGCAACGCACCCCCCATGCGTTGGCATCATGGGCGAAACAGTATACTGTGTTATGTCCATGATACTGCTCATGTGTATAGGCGACAGTTACCACTTTCCATCAGGTGGGCCGTCAGCTTGTTTGGCATTCTATGTTGTGTAAAAAAAAAATAAAAGAATAATAGTCAATCCTAGTTATATTTTTTTACTTTATTATAGACTATAGGAGACTGTGATCCTGCCTATTAGAAATAAATTATGATTAATTAAACTGAATATAAAATCTTTTTTTTTTTATATTGCTCCCTTTACTTATGTGTATTATTCCTTTTTTATATATGTTATGTTTATATTAAAAAAAAAAAAAAAGAAAAGAATAATTATAGAGTCAACCACATTAATTGACTTTTACCCAGTATTCTATAACCCATATCAGTCATTCTTTAACCATTGTTAAACACAAACCTTCCATGTGGATCACACGTTGAACCGGCATTTACTCGTGTGGAAATTGTGGATAGATTAAATATATTATCGCCACCTTTCTTTACCCACCCACACACGATCTCACTCTCACCGCAC